TTGATACTCAACGGGCCCAACCCAATGACGGTGGGCTATGGTTCGTCGGTGTCTGACCCGGGAGCCAAGCTGTACGTGGATCAGGAGGCCATGGATTCGGTTCAGCTTGGCAGCAACTTTTCGACGCAACTGGCAGTGGGGACGCATGTTGTGACGTACTGGCTGGAGGATGACTGGTCAGGCCTTGATCCGCCTTCCCAGGTGTCGCGACGCTTGCACGTGGTAGATGACACGCCACCGGTGAGTGTAGAGCCTGCTGTGGGTGGCTACTCTGGACCAGGCTGCGGGTGGCGGGCGGATAGGGGGAAGGGAAAGGAGTTGGCGGGTGGCGGTTTGCCTTTGCCTTTGCCTTTGGCGCGTTGTAGCCCTGTAGACATTGGTGGCATGTTGTAGTGATGGGGGCACGGTTGGTGAATGATACAAAGTCCAGTGTCTAACCGGTGACATGGATGGGCATTGTCGGGTGTGTAGGTGATACAGCTGCTGGGGCCTGCGGTGTGGCGGGGCGAGGTGGGAACACCGTACGTGGAGCCGGGGTGGAATGTAACGGACGACGTGGACCGGAATGTTTCTGTGACGGTGGTGGATCACAGCTTCAACGCGGCCACGCCGCTGGTGGTGGGCTCTGTGGTGTATGTGGCACGCGACTCGGCGAACAATACGGCCACCGTGACGCGGCAAATTGTGTGGGAGGATACGCGGGCACCAACGATCACGATGCAGGGAACCAACCCAATGTTTGTGCAGATGCTGACCGACTTTGTGGACCCGGGTGCCACGGTGACGGATGCGGGAGACCCGAGCCTTGGGCCGGCACTGGAGGCCTCGAGCAACAATGTGAGTACGGATGAGGCCGGGGTGTATGCCGTGTGCTACCGCGCGCTGGATGAGCGGCAGAACGAGGCGGTGGTGTGCCGGCGCGTGGTGGTGGGAGATCGCGTGGCCCCCAAGTTCTTGAACCTGCAGGCGGTGTATGAGGTGGAGGCGGGGCTGTCGCTGGCCGCGTTTCCGTTGGACACTGTGGAGCCGTGGGATGCGGTGGACGGGGTGTTGGATTGGGAGACAATTTCGAGCAACTACTCGGATCTGAATCCGCGAGCAGTGGGCATGCATGCGGTGACGCTGCGCGTGAGCGATGCGAGCGGCAACGTGAATGTGACGGTGGTGCGGGTGGCGCTGCGGGATAGTCGAGCGCCCAACCTGACGCTGCACTATGTCGAGCCGTGGGACTTTGAGCGAGGGCCAGGCTGGCAGGACCCGATGAATGTGAGCGCCGTGGATGCGGTGGCGGGTGACGTGCGGTCCAGCGTGAAGCGACGAGCGGTGGTGATGACGACGGGCGTGCCGGCATCGATTTGTGAGGGCGCGAACCAGTACTACGCGGCCATGACAGGGCAGGAGGGGAGCAGCGACAATGGCCTGACAGGGCTGGTGAGCGCGAGCGATATGCCGGAGCCTGGACCGGTAGCCGCTGTCAATGGATGGGCAGTGGCGGGCACGGAATACCGGCTGGAGTATTCCGCGAACGATGGCAACGGTAACGTGGCGCATGAGGCAGCGCACATGCGGATTGTGGACACGCGGGCGCCGCGACTGGAGGTGGACGATCTGGTTGTGGCCGAGTATGGGGTGGGGTCGATGTTTGTGGACCTTGTGCACCCAGAGCCGGTGGATGAACCGAATCAGGACCTGCGGGGTCGGCTGTGCGCTGTGGCGTGGCGTTACGAGTTGACGGCGGGGCTGGGGGAGCGCGTGAGCGGCAATGACGCAGGGGTACTGGTACCCGTGTATGCAGAGGCGCGATGGCGGGAGTATGCGCGAGACCCATCGGCATGGGAGTCGATGGCAGTGCCGTTGGCGGAGCTGACGCTGGATGCGATGGTGGGCACGCTGTACCGAGTATCGTTTGAGGTGTTGGACGTGGGAGGGTTGAGCGCCAACGGCACGACGTGGGTGCTGGTGGACGACCGCACGGCGCCGGAGCTGACGGTTGAGGGCGGTGTGGGACGGCGGACCTACGAGTTTGGTCGGCAGGTGGCCGTTCCCAGGGTCACGGCAATGGACGCGCACGACGGCAACTTGACGGCGCACGTGGCAGTTGAGGGAGCGGCGGAGGTGTCGGGGGAGCGTGCGGGCAACTACACGGTGAGCTATGTCTGTCGGGACCGGTTCAACAACGTGGCTCGGGAGGAGGTGGAGATTGAGGTGCAGCGCTTTGAGGCCCCGCCGCGTGAAAATGTGTTTGTGGCGCCGCTGGCGCGCATGCCTGTGGATGTGGCGAGCCAGGAGCGATCGCTGCGGACGCACCTGCGGCAACCGCATGTGTTTGTTGTCTCGGTCGTACCGGCTGGAACATGGCCGTTGCCGTACAACCAGATGCCGGGAGCACGCACGAGCTTGGTCAATGAGACGGAGCGGAATGCGGCGGAGACGGAGACCACGGCTGGGCAAGAGCGGCGATCGACGACGAGCAGCTACGTGGTTGGGTTTGCGGTGCGCAACAGCACGACGTGGGCGTGGCTATCGGTGGCGGAGATGGAGGCGTGGTTGGCGGGCCTGGAGGCGGTCAACGGGACGGGCTCGTCGTTGTCAGCGGTGGTTGTGTCGCTGGCAGAGTATGAGAGCATGACGTCGGGGGGTGGAGGAGCGGCGTCGACGCGGCGTGCAGAGACGACGGAGGGGTCGGCATCGTCACGGGCGGCATCGGAGAGCGGGGGCTCGATGATTACGGTGCTGGTGATTGTGCTTGCGTCGTTGGTTATGATTGGGCTGGTGTTGCTGGTGATTAAGCTGGTGTGGGTACGGCGTCGACGACGGGCGCGAGTGGCGCGAGTGAAGCAGGATCTGCATTCAAGCCCGCTGGGGTTGATGGACAATCCGCTGTATGGGCAGCCGCTGGCGGATCCCGACTCGGAGACGTTGCGACCGGGCAGTGGTCGAGGCTCTGGGGTAGGTGGATCGGACAAGGGTGACCCCTCGTACGGCCAGGCCTTGTATTCCGCGCTGGACCATTCGGCAGTAGCTTGGGGATATGAGCCTGCGGCTGGCGCGGAGAACCAGTATGATCGCTTGAGTGCGACTGGCAGCATGCATTCGCGGCGGGCTCAGCAGCAGTCTGGGGTCGACGGTGCGAGTTTGGTGAAGGGCCAGGGCGGTGGTGAGAGCAACGAGGGCGGATCGGTTGCGGGCCATTATGATCACCTGAACTCGGGTACATTAGCGTCGCCGTGGGACGGCGAGGTGGCTGCGGGCGCGGGAGTGTCGATGTCAGACAGTCTCACGATGCACGAGAGCAATGGCCAGTATGACCAGCTGAACAAAGCCGGCTTCGGCTGGGCCCCGTTTGGGTCAGGAGGAGCTGGAGCAGGGGAGCCGGGAGCGACGGGGAACGAGTACGACACCCTGGATCTTGGAGCTGTTGGGGGCACTGCGACGGCGGGCACGGACGGAACAGCTGAAGTGGCTGGAATGGACGCGATGATGAATATGGGGGAGACGGCCGATTACTCGGAGGTGTCTGATGGCCCTCGGCGTCTGGCGGGGATGGATGTGTATGCCAACCCGAACGAATGTACACCTGTGAGCGGGACAGAGGCAGAGGCATCGATGGTGGAAGATGAGGCAGAGGCATCGACGGCGGAGGCAGAGGCATCGACGGCGGAGGATGAGACATCGATGGTGGAGGATGAGACATCGATGGCGGAGGCAGAGGACGTGCCTGCTGCAGGGACTGCGGATGAGGCGAGGGAGGCGATGCCTGGTGCCGAGATGGAGAGTGTGGCCAGTGGAGCAAACAATGCGCTGGTGAACTTTGTTGTGCCGCCTGCGCCTGATGGTGGTGGCAATGACGCTGAGGAGGCGAGGCGGGATGAGTTGGTCAACGATGATCTCCCTGAGGGGGTCTCGGCATCGGACGAAACGGGTGGCCTTGCGACATTTGAGACACCAAATGTTGCGACATCGCCGGCGGTTGAGCCAAAGCCGGAACCTGCTGCCGGATCAGTGCCCTTGGCCTCGGGCTTGGACCAGCCACCTAGCCGGGTGGGATCGGCCAATGAGACGGCTGGTGTGCCCTCATTGGCGGCGGCGGTGGTGGCCTCGAAGCCTGTTCGCCTGCCTGGCCGCGTTGGGCCCATGGAGCGGGAGGGTGGCAGTCCCAGTGGCACGCCAGGATCGAGCCCGCACAGTACGCTGGAGCGCCCGGCATCATCGACGGATGCAGGAGCAGGAGCAGGAGCGGGAACGGGGGCGAATGGCGATGCCGCATCGGCGGGAGAGTGGCGAGATGAGGTGACGGGCGTTTCCTACGAGCTGTCGCGTGACCTGGGGCCACGTGCGCGGCGTCGGCGAAGCCCGGTGCCAGAGGGCTCCGGTGCTCAGCAGCCGGCTGGCCGTGGGCAAGAGGATGAGAAGAGCGTGGCGCGTGAGGCTGGCGATGGGATGGGGGCGCTGCCTGGATCGGAGCGGGGTGAGCCGGGGCCGGTGGGCCGTCAGCGATCTGGGACGATTTCGGTGCAGCGGCTGGTTGTGTGTGACTTGAACCGTGTGGCGGCGGAGCAGCAGCTGTTGGGGCTGCATGCGCCGGTAGGGTCGTACCTGATTCGACACAAGCCGGTGGCCGGTTGCCGGGAGTCGTATGTGGTGAGCGTGGTGGGAGTGCAGGATCAGCGGATTGTGCATTATCGGCTGCAGCTTCGGGAGAACCTGCCAGACTTTGTGGCGGAGAACCGTATTCTGGGCGGGTGCCGAGATTTGCAATCGGCGATTGACCGCCTGAAGCGGGGCGTTGAGCTTGGCTTTGCCATCAACCTGACCCACGCCGTCTCTCCCAACTATGAGTGCTAGCCTTCTTCGGAGGTTTCTTCAAAGCCTTTTAATTTCAGTGACACACCGCTTTCCATTGCTGACCTGTGAGTTTGAGTCATGTTGGCCAGCTGTCTCTCCTTCCGGAGACTCGGTTCTGGTTCCCATTTGATCGACATGACATGTGTTTTTGCGCCCCGCAAGTTTCGGGCGGATGTGTGATCGAGATAACTTTTGTAGCAACTTTCAAAGAAGATACTGAATTATAAACCAATTCAGTTCAACTTCATGTAGCTCAACCTTGACTTGACGTCGGCTGCGTGTCTCTTTCGAGTATCTTCTCGCACCTTCTTTGCACCACCAGATTACGTAATAGCCTCGGTTTGCGTCATGACGCGAACGTGTGAGCAGTGGGGCGGGCGGGGGTTGAAATGGCAGCGCCGGGGCTGCACCACCGTCGAGCCCCTATGCACCTGCATCAACTTCTTCTCATACTCACGTTTGGTCGCACTGGCCCAGCGCGAACTCTCCCTCACCCTGTCCGACCAAGCCACAACAGAGGCAGAGCCAAGGTGCACACACAAAGCACAGCCAGAGAGGATGACAAGGTATGAAACGCTTAGAGAGAGAAGAGCTGGAAGCAGAAAGAAGCCTCTTGAAATTCTAACCAAAACAAGAGATGAACAACACATAAAAGATTTTACAGAGAGAGAACCCAAAGCGAACAAAAACCAGAGAGTGTGAGTGATGTGATTGAGTGAAAGTCAAGATTGCTTCATTTTTTTTTTCGTCTGAACGCGTTCAGTGGGAACGACCGGCACAACAAACGCTCTGCGCTGGAGGCCTTTGATACCTTCTAAACACACACACACACGCACACACACGACTCGTCTCCCGGTTTGCCTGCTGCCCCTTCCCCGTGTACGTGGCAGCCCGTTGTCTCAGGCCCGCTTTCGGCTTAGTCGTACCAGGCAGTCATGGGAAAGGACTATTACAGTACGTTGAAGCGGCGTGCCTCGTGTGCTGTCTTGTCTGGTCACCGCGGTCCAGTTGGGTCGTGCTTTCCCGGTGCCAAAATGTGCTTTTGTTGCCCCTGACCCTGTGCATATGTTCGACCCCTTGACAGAGATTCTCGGCGTCAACCGAGACTGCACTGAAGATGACCTGAAAAAGGCATATCGCAAGAATGCCCTTAAGGTGAGGTGGAGCCCTGCGAGCGCTCACTTGCTTCACCCAGTGCTTTCGTGTCCGCCAACTGGGCCCCAATCGAGCCAAGCTGGTCGCCCATGTCTTGATGCAGCGGCATTGGTTAACCAGGCCGCATGCTTTCTGGTGACGTAGTATCATCCAGACCGAAACAAATCCCCCGACGCCAAGGAACGCTTCCAGGAGATTTCCGAAGCCTACGATGTACGTTGCAGAACACTGGATTGCCCTGTATGGTGCTGAGCGCCACCTGTCTCATATTCATGGTCTACTTTTTGGACATCACCCAGGTCTTGTCAGACAAGCAGAAGCGCGAAATTTATGATCGATATGGCGAGGAGGGTTTGAAGGGTGGCATGGGCGGCGCCGGCGGTGGCGGCGGCGGCATGGGCGGTGGAGCGCCTGGTGCCGGCTTCAACTTCCGGTAAGTGCCTTTTGATCGTGCTGATGAAACTGCCTATGAACTGACGTGTGGCAGTAGTTCTCATTTTGTCTCTTATTTCTGCCTCGGGATAGCCGCGCGGAGGACATCTTTTCCATGTTCTTCGGTGGATCTGACCCCTTTGGCGGCATGGGCGGCATGGGCGGCATGGGTGGCATGGGTGGAGGAGGAGGCATGCCCGGTGGATTTGGTGGCATGGGTGGTATGCCAGGCGGTATGGGCGGCATGGGTGGCGGCATGCCCGGTGGTTTTGGTGGCATGGGAGGAGGCATGCCAGGCGGTCGTCGCAGTACCTCAGGAGCATCCAAGCCTGCACCTAAACCCGAAGTCATTGTAAAGAAGGTGCCAGTCTCCCTTGAGGACCTCTTCAAGGGCTTCACTAAGCGCCTCAAGATTACGAAGAAGAAGGCCAACGCCCAGGGCGGCGTCTCGACCGTGTCGGATGTTTGCGAAATCGTGGGCAAGCCTGGTTGGAAGAGCGGTACCAAGTTGACCTTTGCGGGCAAGGTAGATCCACTTGCACGCGTGATCCAGTGCCTCCTCGCATCCTTGAGTGGCTTGAAAACTCAACCTCGGATTTTCTTCTGCCTCCGTTGCATTGACACAGGGTGACGAACTACCTGGCAAGCCAGCACAAGATATCCAGTTTGTGATTGAAGAGGCACCTCATCCAGTCTTTACCCGCTTGGTAAGAATTTTGAGTCGGGCCATGTTCTTGGCTGGTCTTCCTTCGTGCCGTAACCATCACGCTCACCATTGATTCGTTGCGGTTGGATCATCTGTGCTTTGCAAGGGCGACAACTTGAAAATGAACTTGAAAATCAATGTTGTGGACGCATGGTGTGGCTTTTCCACCAAGGTGACGGGCATTGACAAGGCGTCGCTGCCCGTCTCGTGCACAAAGGTTCCGGACAGCAACGAGATTGTGCTTCCCGGCCAGGTACGAGTCATAAGTGTGACTGGATGAAGGGAAGGGGAGGGTTGTTGTGTTGGGCTGTGCTGACAAACGATTGGTGGTTCTTTCTTTCCGAACCTTCGTAGGGTATGCCCAAGAAGGGAGGTGGTCGCGGTGACTTGATTGTCAACCTGCAAATTGCCTTCCCACCCATTCCTTCAGCCAAGAAGGAGAAAATTCGAGAGGAATTTGGCCCTGGCTTGCTGTAAATTCTAGCTCATATGGAAAGTAGTAATTTTGGCCATGGAGTGCCGGATATCTTCGGGTCAATGCTGTGTTGTCAGTTGATGGTGTTGGCAGCAAAGTGGAACGATAAACAAATTGATGCGAGTCAGGTGGACATTTTTTCTTCCATTTTCACGTATGCAGACGACACACATGACACACATACAAGAGACGCGGCTCCGGCCTTGCCAGATCACTCAGCCTCGGAATCAAACAAACACGCCGGCTGTCATCACAGATGTCATGTCTACTCGTCATCATCGTCGTCCGAGTCTTCGTCCATCTTGGCCTGAGCAACCAACGGTGCAAGAAGCGTCAACATCATGAGCGATGAACCGAACCTGAGAGGGGTATCCAGACCTTGAACAAACCTGAGCATAAGCCTCAGCCTCCTGGAGGATAGCATCAGGTACGTGGCTGTGCTGGCCATTGGTTTCTGCAATGGCGCACGTGACCGAGGTGTAAGCTGTGAGGGCGCCGGGGAACAGGGCAGATATCTGGGCCGAAGGAAAAGAAAAGGAGACGGCCATCGAACCTGCGCACACCCAGGACATTTCCAACTCAAAGGCCTTATCTTTGGTCTCATCGTGCGTTGCGTAAATGCTGTGAAAAGAAAAAGCCAAACTTGTGAGCACATCCGCTTCAAAACGACAATCGCCGGGACAAACGGTGACTGGTCGAGAAGTTAAAAGGCGATGCTTACATGCGGGCAGCCTCCTTAACGAGTTCGCGAACGGGCTTGTCAGATGGCTGCAACAAATGAGTCAAATACATGTGAAAAAGAGGCAGAGCAGGCAATCATGAACTTGCAAGACGGACAGCTGCCAGGACTTCAAGTGGCTTTACCTTGAGCTTCTCGATTTCAGCGTTGGCTGCCGTCTTGTTCTTGCCCAGAGCGGCTCCGTAGTAGCCCTGCACGACAAGCGATCAAGTTTTCAAGAGGAAAAAGGCACCTATCAGCATGGTAGATTTGTGACTTAACGGGGTGCAACCCGCACATCGAAGCGAAGGCATACCCAAGACACGCCCGATGGCTCAACCATGTAGAGCGCGGGGCCTTCAAGGGCGTCGTAGGCGCCCAGGAGGACACTAGAGATTGTGGTCATCCAAGGACAAGCGCGATATGAGTCAAATAATATATTTACGTCAAGCGTCAGGCCAATGAGCAGCGATACACAGAAGACAATAAAGTCGTGTGTCGGCCACACACCTGCAACCCGCAGGGCGGGCAGCGCCATAAAGTGTGAACTGGTGGATGTAACCAGAGAGCTCGTCATTGAGCTTCTTCACAGGCACGGGGCTGCCCCAGGTTTGCTTGTACTTGAGGGCCTGGGAGCGCGCTTCTTGCACAATCTGATGGAGAATGACACACACACACACACACACACACACACACACACACACACACACACACACACACACACACACACACACACACACACACACACACCTTATGAGTCAAAAAAGAGACAGAGGTGCATAACTGCGGGTGGTGCTCAGGCCGAAAATTGTGTAACGTACCGAGCGGCCATCAGCCAGCAGACCCGCAAATGCCTGCGAGGTATTGGATGGATGCAAATATGCCCAGGCCCCATGAAGGAGACGAAACAGAGGGAATTGAGTCAAAAGGCCGCGGAAGGTGAGTAGTGACTGCGAGACGTACGGCGCCAATGTGTCGGTCTACGGAGAAGGTACGACGGATGGTATTCTTCTCATACAACTCTGAGAGGATGGTGTTCTCGCAAGCAAAAACGACGCCATCACTGCCACGCAGGGCCAGAACGGTGCTGAAGAGGGCCAAACGGTTGAACAAGGAAGAGTCAGTAAGAACCGGTATGAGAAGAAACGAGCCCAGCAGAGAGCAAGGTTGGCTTTGGCTAAAGATAGTATAGCATGAAATGTGCAGCTCAAAATGATGGCGCGAGGCCAGCGATGACCCGTGTATAGTTGCTAGTATACTGCCGAACGGAGCAAGCCGCACGGGCTATGTAGCTCTCACCTGGCATTGTCGACGGCCTTGCCGGCGTATTCGACCTGGAAAACGCGTCCCGCCGGGGAAAACGTCTGCGCCGATTGATCGTACTGTGTACAAAACGGGGCAGAGCAGGCATGGGAATGAGGCATAATTTCAAATATCATAGAAATAACAGAGGCAAGGGCCACTGAGCCCTCCGGCCCACGCGAGGCCCCGCCGCGGGCAAGTCACTGCCAGTCAGTGAACATGCAACGTCACTCAGAGAGCTTGCGGCATTCGCAGGAGGCTTCACGAGCACCTTCCCCAAAAGGGACTGAGCCCTTGCCCCCGCCAGTATCTGCGCCTGCATTGCCTGCTCCATCAAACCCAAATTGCATTCGGGGACTTATCCATCTCTCCCGTCGACACCGGCTGCCATTTCAGGGCGCCAACGACTCACCCCAGTGCCAATCGCACTCATTCTGTCGGTCAGAGAGAGAGAGAGACAGAGAGAGAGAACAAAGAAATATATCAGAGATGAAGGGTGAATGCAAACTCTCTTGAGAGATGCTGGGAGAAGTCAATCGGCCTTTAAGAGATACCACTGTTTTCGGAGTTGAGTATTGAAGAAAAACCAAGGTAAAAGCAGAGTTTAGGATCGCTGCTGTGGTTAAAACAGAGACCGGGTCGAAAAGCATGGCTCACAAAGAGACAAAGTCAAACGCACCCCAGTGACGGAGCCTGGATGAGACTGGTAGTCTCCTGGGAGACCAAAGAGCTTTCGGATATGTGTTCATTTTGGAGGGGTATTTTATAGATGTCAATTGCTGGCTGCCTAAAAATGCGTGCCCCGTCTTCACCTGCCAGATCTTGAGCCGTACTTCTCAGAAGCATGGCCGGCGCATTTGGGCTGATTACACAGGCTGATCCAAGGCAGCCGTTTCTGCAAGACACTTGTCGATCCATGGCTTCCATTCCACGCTCATGCGAAGTGGATAATTGAGGTGGGTACCAAGGCCACGCAAAAGCAGACTGGCCCGCGCTGCCAGGACATGATGGCTTGCGGCTCCTGAAACCATCTCATCCTGCGCGAACAATGTCTCCACAAATTGCTAACGGTACATTGCAGCAGGGTGCATCGGTGAGAGAAGGCCCCGCTCCAGTCAACCCGTGTTGCGTGCAGCACTCACCTGCAGATTCTGACCCTGACAGGTCACGCGGTCGTCGCGATCAAAGGCAATGATGGCAGCCATCACGTTGACAAAGGGATCGTCACGAGCCGAAGCAAACCCTATGGCCTTGTGCGTTGCAATGATTGCAGCTTCGTCATCGTCATAAATTGCCTTCATCAACAGGGCCAGCTCCCGCCTGTGAACACCACGAGTAAATGAATGTCAACCGTTCAACTCGGTGGCATTTTGCCACACAACAACGCAGATGTGCTCGAATGGCCAGTGATGAACCATTAAGACTGACCTTTGCGCCGCTGTCATGGCCTTCACTTGTCCAAAATCAATCAGACCCAGACGTCCATCAGAGCACAGCAACAAATTACCGGGATGGCAGTCTCCATTGAAAAGCTACATCCGTCAAATACCATAGGCGAATCAACCAAGCAAGGTAAATGAGCATCCACACCAGCATACATGCCCATCCACACACCAGGAGGGCGTGGCTTTGCTCCCTCAACGACAACTGCAACCCTAGATGGTCTCACCCCATCCTCGAAAATTTGTTTGCCATGTACATCGATGAGCAGCTGGAGGAGATGTGGGATGTTCAACGGCAACTCTATGCAACCAGACCGACAATTCCACGATGAATCATAGGACGAACGATACAAACAAAGCTCGCAGATCGCCTTCAATACTAGAGTTTGCAGACATGGGGTTTGCTGTGCTTCTCGTACCAGGTTGATAATAGCTCCATTGCTGAAATCCCAGAGGAGTAAGGATCACGTTATACAACCAGCGCCCCGAATTGATGAGGCCGGCGTAGGATCGCACCATCCAGATGGCTCGCCGCATCTCGGCGTCTGAAGGTCCCGATTCCATCACACCCTGCGCTAAGCGCTGCTGCTGCTCGGCCTCCATCGCCTCCAGCGTTGTGCCCCGCGAAGCAGCCACATTGCGGTAAAAATCCTGTACCCAGCCTCGTAAGTGCATACATGGTGCGTAGCTTGCGCAAAGCAACAAGCAACCGTTCTGTCCAAAGCTCTGGAAGAGGACACGAAACCTACGCGGACGGCATCGACAAATTTGCGACCCTCAAGGTATGTCATGACCAAAACATCGCGTGTCACCAGCTCATCAATGGGCTCGGGCATCACCACCTGCACAGGTCAGTATACCAGACCGACCATGACTCAAGCAAGGCGCCGATGCCCAGCAGACATTCAACCAAGCGCACACCCCGTCTACGCGTCCATGAATCGAGCTGACACACCTCGTTCTCAAATTCAGGACGGAGGTTGGACCAGACTTGGCGCAGATTGGCTGCCTCCTGTCGATAATCAAACTCGGTCAAGAATTGATCGTGCAGTTCCTTGAGAAAATGAACTTGCTCGGGCTGCGCGAGTTCGCAAAACTGTGTGATGGTGCGCATGTCTGTATCAAAGTTGGCCTCGACCGCGGGAAACTTGACCTTGATCACCACCTCGCGCCCATCGTGCAAGCGTGCACGATGCACCTAACACCCATAGACGAAACAGTCAGGCCAGTTCAAAAAGGAGACAAGGCCTCGATGGAGGTCGTTGGGAAGTCGGAGGGTTGCGCGGCTGGTCTGACCTGGCCAATGCTAGCTGCACCCAGGGGTTGCTGGTCGACCCAGGCAAAAACCTCCTCAAGAGGCCTCTGCAGCGACCCCTCGATGACACCTCGCACGTACTCGAATGGCTCCGCAGGGACCTGATCCTGCAGCGTTTCCAACACATCCAAGTATTGCTGGGGCAGAAAATCAGCTCGCGTTGAACCCAGTTGGCCAACTTTGATGTAGAATCCTAAGCAAGCCCGATAAAGACGCACGCTAAGGTAGTGCCGCTGACCATGGAAGTGGTAGACAGACTACGAGCCGGGAAGAGGAGACAGAGCTATAGCCCGAGTGCTCAAGTGGCCTGCGCGGGACGCACCGCGCATTTGCAGAATCAGGTTCAGCATGACGGGCGCATACTCGTTGTGCAGGACATCGTATGCTTTGTCCTGCGTGGTAGAGGTTGCGATGGCTCGCCAGCATGCATGAGAGAAGGGGCTCAACGGTGAGCGGGCGACAGTGCATTGTGAGGGTACCTGTTCCTCCACGGGGTCTTTTTGCACCAGCTGCTGCACCAGCCGATAGTGCATGTAGACGGGAAAAGCACGCATCCTAAACCATGGCCAAGGGCAGTGCGGGGCAGGTCAGCATGGGAAGGTTAGCACGTCGCTGCGGGATACGGTTCCTGCGAGTGCACACCAACCAAAAGTTGGCGGTACGACGATGTCGCTCGTCCGAGCCAATAAATGCCGCCAAGCCTCCAAGAGTAGCCAAACTTCCCCACCCCATCGCACGGCCCCAGCTAAAGGTGCGCGCTGGGGCAGCGGTGGCCATGGTGGCTGCTCGGCCCAAGCGAGCCTTGAGCCACGTGCCCGCCGTCCTGTGGCACATGAGCCGATCAGCCCAAACCGACCTTCAATTCAAGCAAGCTGACCTACAAGCGCCACTCGGCCCTTCCAACACTGCTCCATGCCCAGGCTTCATACCTGCTAGGTGCTAGCACCATGCTTGTCGTCCGTACCAGCAGCATCACGCTGCCGTTTGATCACCTCTGACGCACGTTGCATAAGCCTGTGGTGTTGTTCCAAAAAAAAAATCTCTCTCTTTCCCTCTCTCTCTCTCATGAAATTTTGAGAAACTGGGAGAGCGCAAATTCGTTGAGATGTTTTATTCAGCCGGACGTTGGTGAAGAAGGTGTTGGGGGTGTATCAACTAAAAGCGGCTCGACATTTACACATGATGGCAACGTGGGCGGTGCTCAAGCACACCCTCGACCGACCATCTTCAACCAAAGCGACAAATTGACACGTAAAAACTCATTTATCAGACCGCCCGAGGGCGAAGGATCCGTGCTAGCAAAACGTCAAGGACCTGCCTATCTCATATGCTTGAGGCAAAGGGCCACTTGTGCCACCACCACCACCCCCCCCCCCAAAAAAAAAGGGGAGGAGGGAAGGGGAGTTCAAAAACAGCTCAATCACAATTTCATTCTGGCAGTGATCACGCAGTTGCCTCTTCGGGCGGGCCGGCCAGCACGAGAACAGCCGATGATTCACTGCTCAGCCGTCGGCGCATAGAGTGCGTGAGCCGAGAGCCACGCCGAATGCTGGCTCGTGCAAACTCCGACTCGAGCATCTGAAAGGTCGGTCGCGCCGCCGGATCTGTGGCCCAGCACCGCTCCATCAAACGTTGCAGCTCTGATGGACAGCTCGCAGGAATTTCGGGGCGCTCGCCCTCAACGTAGGCCTCGCGCATTTGATGAATAAAGCGCAAGTGTGACATGGGATACTTGCGCGTGACGATTTCCCACACCAACACGGAAAAGCTGAAAACTATTCAACGGCCAGCACCAGCGACAGCACCATGCACGGCGACCATGAGTTTGCCCATCACACACACACACACACACACACACACACACACACACACACACACACACACACACACACACACATGGCCCGCCACTGCAAATATTGCTGTCGTACCATCGGCGGGAAAAGAGTACTGGCCTCCATCGAGCACTTCAGGAGCCATCCAGCCCAGAGTGCCAATCAAGGACGTGTGCTGTGGGCGCTCTTGTAGTTCACCCTCCTCTGACAAGGGCTCGATGGAGGAGGACGAGTCGCCTTGCTTGCGGCGCTGCGTTCGATTGAGATATCGGCTCAACAAGCGACCCGCATCATTGGATTTGATGGTCGCATTTGGGTCCACATCCGTGTAATCGGGGTCTTCTTCAGACACGGATAGCATTTGATCTTCCCGCACTCGTTTTGCTTTGTCGAAATCGGTGATTTTGAGGGTCCATTTAAATGTGATCAAACACTGCCACAAAACGAGGAGAGACAAGGAATGGTAGTGAGCCTTTGACATCCGAAAGCGCACAAGATCGAGCCAGTTCCTTCAACTAAGAGCATGAGTAAGAGCATAAGAGTGCGAGTGTTGCTTACATTATCAGCCTTGACATCGCGATGGATGCGTTGCTTGCGATGCAAATAGTTGAGCCCTGCGCCCGACGACAAACATGCCCAATCAAATGATGTATTGTCAAACAGAAGCACCAATCAAGTGAATCGAGGGGTTTCAGGATCATACCCCGAATGGCATCAGAAATGAAGCCTTCGCGCACGTGTGCGGAGAGCTCCACCTCGGGCTTGTCCAAGATGCTGCGGAGCGAACCCCGCTCCACATACTCCATCACCAAAAAGACGGGCTCTTCGAAGCACGCCCCGAGAAACTCAACAATGTTCCTACAGTCGGCAGCACCCCAAAGAGCAGAGCACTCCCGTAAGTTGCATCGATCCGAAAGATACCGCACCTCATCGTGGATCGGTGGTTGTGGACTTACTCATGACGCAAAGTGCGCAAAGTGGTAATTTCCTGCCGCAACTCCTCGTGCCCTGCCATGAAAAGAGACTTGGCATTCCACATTTTTAAGGCCACTTGTCTATGCCATCAAAGGCCACGAAGCCACGAAACGCGGCGCGGCGCGGATGCATGAGCCAGCATACCAACGAGAAATTATGGCGACAGACTCCCAAAGAGCAAGCATTGCCCTCGATACCAGTCTTACCGATCCTGGCTCTTCCAACGCCCACGCTTGACAGCACCAAGGCTGCCCTCCCCAATGTCCTCAAAGATTTCCAAGTCTGACGATGGGATATCCCAAACAGCAGCAAGTTCATCAAACTCAAACTGCATTTCGTTCACCTGTTGTTCGTGACGCTCCTCCAACTCCAAACGCTCGTAGTGCGTGGTGCGCTTGAAGTGGCGGTGGAGGTAATAAAGTGCAATGACAGCCAGAGCGGCCAGACTCAAGAAGGTAGTGATCACTACCAGTGCCACTAATGAAGTCTCGCAGCGCACGCCCGAGTGCAGCACCGAGCACTTGCATCGCGGAAGATGCAAGCTCTCGCTGCCAGCGATGGATTCCACGTGGCAACTGGCCCCATTGCGGCAGTAGTTTTTGTTGCAAATATTGCAGTCAGAAATATGGCTAGCCCCTGCATTGGACGTCAATCCCTCTGGACAGTTGCTGCAGTCACCGGCCAGCCAGTAGGTTCCGGCCAGGCAGTCGATGCATGGAGCATCGGCAAAGGTCCGTGCGTCCGCGTCAGTGCCTAAAGAAACACGTGGTTCATAAGATTCAATCGCTAAAAAGCTTTGTCAAGCAACACAAAGACCCGAACATACGATTCAGCTTCTTGCCCGGGTTGCAAGAGAGGTTCAATATAGAAAAATCACCAAGAAAAGAACCGTCTGCCGTGGCTCCACCCCACATCATCACCTAGAAAGCAAAGTTTTGGACAAATAAAAAGATATTGGTCACCAACTATGCGTATTGCCGCGAACAATCGACCAAGGTGCCGACAAGTCAGGGGTGTGTTGACAAAGTTGCCGTACCTTGCCAGCGGCATAAACGCCCGACATGCCATAACGGGGCTGGTCCAAAGTGACGCGATCGTTGTTGTCATTGTACACATACTCAAGGTTGTTCGTCACGTGGTCGTAAATAAACAGGTTAGAATTCGCATTGCCCGACGGGCTCAGGCCACCCAGAAGCAGCCATTTGAAGGCATCCCGTCGCCGCGACGGCATGCTGTGTGTAAGTGCAATGCCCGTCATAAAGCGAAGCTGGCCCAGGCCTTGATACGGCGATGCTAGCTCTTGGCGTCGCCATGCTCGCGTCTTTAACGAGAAGATGTAAATGCAAGTATAGCAAAACTTTAATGTATCCTCTTCGTTCGATCCGGGCCGACCAGCCACGATCATTTCCTCATCGCCATTGCTACGCAACAGCACGGCTGCAGCATGGCCTGCATGTCCGGGACCAGAGGGCAAGACCTCAACAGTCACGTTCTGGAGACCTGGCAAGAGCAACATGATCTTTCATCAGCCAAATGCCGAATGGAAGAAAGGAGCAAGGGTATGGTATAACCGTATCAAACCAAACAAAATCCCGCATGTGATAGCAGTGAGCACGAACCCTTGACCAAGCTGAAGAGCAGCAATTGACCGGTCACGTCGAGATTGCAATCGTAGCCACCATATGCCAATGCCACCTAGACGCGGACGGCGGCAAAACCACAACCAAGTGACAAGATGAGGTAGGACTGAATGTAAGAGACGAGCACAATCCCTTCTGGTGTGTTGCCGAAATGGGTAGAGCCACGCCGCCCCACATGCGATGCATCGTCATACACGGGATGTTGGGGCGTAGGTTAAGGACCCGCTGCGTGAAGGTTTGGCGATGGGCTGCATATTGTAAACGTAACTGTATACGCGCGAAGCTCTAAACCAGGCAGAACCCCAGAACAAGACAACCACGGGTCGAGTCAGCGCGCACGCGAAACAACCAAAACGGCACAAAGCACCAAAAGGCGTCGCCGCTTCCTACGTGAGATGGACGATATTTAGTGTTGGAAGGGGTCGCCAGAGCCAATCTGTAGGAATGCTGTACAGGCCGCCCCATGCCGCGATCACGTTGCCCGTGGGCTCGTTGGCATCTGTGCGCAGGCCAGCAATGTGCTCCTTGGGGATGTCGACGGCAGCACCGCAGCAACCTTGTGTAGGGTCAAATGGAATCACATCCCCGCAAATCTCGATGGACAGAGTTCGAGCGGATGTGCCATTAAAATTGAAGGGATAAAAGTCGACATAATCAGCTTCGGGATCGAATGAAACGCTGCGCCACGCGACAGAGGAATCTTGGATGTCGGCAGTGGATAGGATCCAAGAGTCGGCGAAGACTCCCGCCGAAACATGGCCAGCTTTGAGGACGCGATCGTCCGATAGACGTGCCATGCCACTGAGGATTCCCGCCGCTGGGCTGTATACGAGAGAGGATACGTCCCATTCACATGTCTACCACACCAAAGTACGTTCCGCAAATGTGAATGCACGTGAGAGGGTCGCACAAAATATATGGGCAGGCCCAGTGGTGAGGCACGCACGTTCATTTCAGCATCCAAATGCATGAACCAATAAGGCTGAGCCGAGCCATCAACAAGAGATGCCAGGGGGCCCGCAACCACCGTTTTGCCGATACTCGGCACGTTGGTCGAAGCAAAATCGCGAGGCATGACACCATATCTGGGCCGCCAGAAAATCAAAGGATGTAAGGGCAGAGAGCGGTGAGTGGAATGACAAAGTACAACGATAGCCTGGTCGAGGGCGGGGCGGGTCGAGGAGTGGGCACAAACCCTTCAAGAAACGGCTGGTTGCGGACGCTGACGTCATTGTCGGCAAAAATCACAGCCGATCCGTTGGTCAGGAGACGGTATGTTTTGAGCTGCACGTGGGCGCCGGAGGGAAATCGTTAGTGGCCAGTCGAGAGCTTACAAGCATGGGCCGGGCATTGTAAAACCGAATCACCTACCACAGTTGTGGCGGCCAGGGGGGTGCCAATGGCCATAACTGAGTACTCCATCCCGGAACTGACAAGGAAGATGTGGGCTCGAGAATAGAGGATGGGCAAGCGATAGGTAGAGAGCTCCCAGAACAGGGTTGGCGGCGAAGCAGTCAAGTTGACACTCCACAGATAGCATTCCGCTGCATAATGACCAGTGTAACCTAGAAGATGACATCGGGACCACGGAGCAAGCATCGTCACTTGACCATGGCATACGACCAGAGCAAGCAAAAAGAAAGACAAGCCAGTGCGCGGTTGGACGCGTACCTGTGTCGAATGAATTTGTCGTATCTTGGTCAAATCCACCACAGACGAGACGGGGTGCAACAAAGTCTAGTGCGAGGTCGTCATCGTATGAGTAGAGAGAGGCAATGTTGTAGCGGTTGACGACGGCGCTGTTGGGAGCTTGTTTGAGTCGCTGCCAATGGACGGTACGGGCTGCATCATCGTAGGTGGCGAGGTAGCCATTTGCATTGAGCTCGTTGCACTTTGCTGTTTCAGGGTCAGGGCGACCAATGCAGCCGCCGAACAAAAGGGCGTGCGTCTCATCAACGACGAGCATGGTAGTGCGGGCTAGCTCATCAAGGGTGCCGGTGACAGTAAAGCGGTCCCACTGGCACAACGGCCAGCCGTTGATGTCAGACCCGACGAGGGTTAAGCGCCAGGCATCAGAGAGGGCGGTAGAGGCGGCTGAGTAGCCACCAACAATGTAGAGACTGTTGTTACGAACAACGTAGCCGGCGGTGGCTCGCGCGACGGGACCTTCACCGGTCAAGGTACAATCGTACGGCTTGACCTCGTGGTTTGTCGCACTAATACCCAAGAGTGTGGTGGATCCGGCGAAATCGCTTGACTGAATGTTGGTATGACCACCAAAGGTCACAACAAAGTTTTCTTGCTCCCCTGCGAGTGTCATCCGGCTGAGGCGAGCCATGGTCAAACCAACCAGGCTGGCATCTAGTCTGTTGTACGCACGCACATGCAGAGACACAAGAGTGGGAAGTGGGGTAGTGGAGGGGCAAGGGAGGTGAGACCAAGCACCCAAGACAAACTGAGGGTAGACTGAAGTAGCAAGAAGAAGCGTTCTCATCGAGGACAACGGCGAAGGTTACCCCAGAAACCCTGCATTCAACAACTCACTTGGTGGCGCGCACCGCTTGCAGGCGGTTTGAACTGTAATCCGGAGTAGAGCCATTGGCGTAGGCTGCCACCGGGTGTGGAACGGAAAAGAAGAGGCCCAGTCCAACCAGAAGGACTGAGACCATCATCTCCCTGTCGAGGCCTCGTATGGACGTACGCCGTGCTTGTGGCATGTCAGCGGCCTGCCAGCACGCAAGCCCGATCTTGGCAGGCGCCAGCAGCTGTTGTTTGCAAGCTGGCGACAGCCGAGCCGTATCAGTCCTACCCCAAAATTGAGCACCAGCCAGGGCTGCTGATCCAAATGGCAGGTTCCTGGAAGTGGCTCGGCTGTTCACTCGCACCTGCAAGGCCGAGGCAAGCAGCAGGCGGGGGGCATGAGCGAGAAGAACTTGGCGTTGTCCTGACAAGCGCAGCCGCCGTTGGACGGCTCAAACCCTTGAAATCACTGACCGTGCATTTGAAGACAGAGAGAGATGCCCTTTCCTGACCGCCGCCGCCTTCAACACCACCACCACGACAACGACGACGACGATGACGGGTTCGGCAGATCAATGGGCGCTGCCGTTTTGTGTTCTTCAGCTGTTGTCGCTTTGTGTTGTTGTTGATCGATTCCACTTCAGCAGCAACAGCAGCCGTGCGCATAAGGTAAACTATCCCTCTCTTTTTTCAAACAACTTTGATGCGCGATGGTGGGTTTGGTATTTACTATTTTACTTGTTTTAGAGTGTGTTCTTGTTGGCGGTCGTGCAAAGGGACACAAGCTTTGCCGATGCTGAGAAAAAGTATTTTCAAGGTGTGTGTGAGTGAGTGAGTGAGTGAGTGAGTGAGTGAGTGAGTGTGTGTGTGTGTGTGTGTGTGTGTGTGTGTGTGTGTGTGTGTGTGTGTGTGTGTGTGTGTGTGTGTGTGTGTGTGTGTGTGTGTGTGTGCGGTCGTGTCATCGGCGGCGGCGGCTCGGGGCGCTGCCCGCGGAGGCGGTGAATGCAACTCCGCAAAAAAAGATAATGATGGCGCAGCCTTTGATCGGGGGGTTGAAAGGAACCCAAAGCTGCCGTTATGTGGGGGTGTTGGTCTGCTTGTTCACGCCGTCTGTCTTGATACATGTAGAAGACTGCGGTGACTGCAAACATGGCGGAAGATGACGTGCTGAAACAGCCCTTTGATCTGGCCGTCGAGGGAACCGGTATGGCTAGTTGTGCAACGCTAGCCCCATGGAACGCGGCTGCGCCAACCCTTTTGGCCGTTGCTTGAAACGAATTGTCTGAGAACTTGCCAGGTCTCATCCACGTTCATGTTTTGTCCCAATACAGGATTGATCTGCTCCATTCTGGCAGCAGCCGCATCGCGGGTGGGCAAGCGCGTCATCCATGCCGACAGGTCTGCCACCTTTCTCACTTCATGCGCTCTTGAACACTTGCTTCCCTTGCATCAACGCGGGCTCTCATTGCTGTGGCTATTCCATGCTTCCCGGCTCGTGGCGCGGCCTTGCTGATGACGTGGCGTATTGATGGGCACTGACAGCCGTACCAGCTATGGCCGACAATGGGCCTGCCCCAACCCATCCGAACTGGGCCAGCTAGGCGCCGCGTATGTTGCGACGATGGCCCGTGACAGTCAGGCTGGCTCGCATTTGCCCAAGGCATTCACGAGGAGTTTGGTTATTTGCGACCTGTCAGGGATGGTGTATTTGATTTGGTGGTGCATCGCCCGTGGTCTGGACCCGAAGCACAAGTGCGACGTGTCCAGCTCGAACTTGCTCCGCAAGTAGGTACTTTGCCCCTGCCCTCTTGCCCTGCACCAGCCTCGCGCTGCCAGATCCCAGTGGGCCCCCCTTGGCTGCCCTCACGAAACTACACACCCACTTCCACCCTGGCGATGACAAGATGTGCTTTGCACGGGGGGCCTGCATCCGCCTCCTGCTCGACAGCAACACGACTCGCTATTTAGACTTTAAGCCACTAGCGCAACTCTTTCAGCACGATGGAGAGAAGGCGACCGTTGTACGTTCCACGCACTCCTTCCTTTGTTCGTTCGTTCGAGCCCCGACGGTACTTCTGCGATGGTCGAATGAACAGCGCAACTGAACAATACGTTACCTATGCCCAGGTGCCCTACAGCAAGCCAACACTGATGCGTGACCGACTTTTGTCCCCACGCGACAAGCGCGTGCTCGTGCGCTTTCTGCAAAAAGTGGTCTCCGAGGCAAGCGAGGCTGCGGCCCAGCCAGTTTCCACCGACCGCACCTTTGTGCAATACTTGCAACAAGATCATGGTCTCTCGGATAGCCTCTGCCACCTCGTCTCGGATTTCATGACCTATCTGCCTCCCGATGCCCCGGTAAGCAGGGCACAGTGTCTGAATCCAGTGTCATGCCTGGACTCAAAATGTCTGACAAGCCCAAGCCGCCTCATGCCCCTGTGCCAACACAGATTGCGGCCGGTTTGGCAGCCATGGCCCGCTTCATGTCATCCCTGGGCGTGTACACCGAGACGCCTCTGCTGCTCAACATGTATGGCAATGCCGAAATTGCCCAGGCGTTTTGTCGGTGAGTTTGCTTTTGCTATGTAGTCCCCTCATGCATCCCGGTCCGCGCGCTCAAATCGCCCATGACCGTGGCCGCTCTGTGGACTTGATTCCCGCGTGGTAGGCTGAGCGCAGTGTACGGCGGCATCTACATGCTGCAGGCCAATGCGCCTGCCGAGCCTCAACGCAGTCACGCCGACGAGCACGAAGATAGTGATGTCTTGATTGCACCAGATTCCATCTGCAGGCCTGCGTGGACCTGGCAATTGGGCGAGTTTAATGTTGGTTGTCACCGCGTGGTGCGCACGGCCCTGCCGCACAAAATGCCGGGTCGGGTTGTGGCTCGACTGGTGGCCGTGACGCGTCACTGGCCCACCTGTCTCGGTGAGCAGGATGGCACGGCCGTCTTGTTGACTTTCAAATCTGGTGTAGCGGACCAACAAAGCTCTACGCGTGTTTACATTACCGGGCCTGGCGCAGGCACCACACCGGACGGCCTGTGTAAGCGCCGACGATGCTCTTGCCTTTCTTGACATTTTTTTTTCTTTTTCTTTTTTCTCTTTTTTTTCTTTTTTTCCTTGTGTGAGACAGACTCACAAGGGTGTGCTGACTTGGTACGTGGTTCAATGTGCCTCTGCAGACGTTGTGCAGTTTACAAGCGAAGACTGCGCCGGGAACTGGTCGGAACGGCTCCAGGCGTTGCTGTCTCTCTTGTATCCGGCGGAAGCTGCGACCCCCGCAGCTCCACCCGTGGAAGTTGACGCTGACTCGACAACAGCATCCGCAGACCCTATTGTATTCTCAGCCACATTTACGCAGAGCGTTGCTGGTGTCCTGGATGACTGTTGCTACGAGGAGAATGACGGCATCGTTTACGTGGCGTACGCCCTCTGACTTCCCACCTGTGCCACCTGTGCTCTGCGCTCTTGAACGGCTCTCACCGTGCTGTTGGTGTCACCGCACTGCCTCGCAACCCGGCAGAGATCGCTGGGACGGCACTCCCAGTTTGGACGATGCCGTTCAGCGAGCTCAGCGGCTATTTGAATTTCTGTTTCCGGGCGAAGAGTTTTTGCCGCCCATCCCGGATCCTGAAGATGTTGTTTTTGATGCTACTGAACGGTGTGTGCGCGGTTTGGACGTTTGGGGACCTGCCTGGGCGTGCTCTGTTTTTGTTTTTTGTTTTTTTGTTTTTTTTCGGCTTGCTTTGCCTTGGAGGTATGTATCGTGTCGACGGGCTCATCTGAAAAGGGAATTAACGTAGGGTGGTCATCAAGCCTGCCACGACGGCGTTTGGAACCATGTATCTGCCCATGGAGGCATACTGCGTGGACCCTACTTCGCAATCGCTGCAAGTAGACAAGGTTCTCCAAGACGACTTGCTGCATATGGTGGCCAACAATACAGCACAACATGCTGTGGCACAAGGCAGAGCTGAGGCGCAGGTTGTATTGGCCGAAAGCCAGGCTTAACTTGGCTCATGGTTGAAACCTTGCGGGTGCTGCAGCTGTGAAGAATCATAGCATAGGAAATTGATTGAAGAACGATTTTGGCCCGCTCAGTTGGGCAGGAGGCACATTTATGGTCCAAGCCAGGAGCTAAATTACCAGTCAAAGGGGGTAACGAGGGGCCCGTGTTTATACGGCCGTGATCGATGATGTGGATTGCGGCCTTGGCGCTTGTCACCAAGCACGGGGCCGTTGCCGCAAGGATCAATTTTAAAGGCCTCAACGGTGGCTGCCTCCCCCCGCAGGGCCCCCTCGAGGGCGGGTCCAGGTGATGGGGACCCGCATCCATGGTAGGTGTAGCACACCTCGAGTTGCGGTACGCGGGACCGGATCGTGTCGACATGTAGCTGGAAGCGCTGCTCTTTGAAGGACCAACCAACAATCTTGATCCACCACCCAAGGGGTTGAAACGGCCCAAGCCAATGGCGCGCAGACAGGCAGACAAAGGCGTGTATGAGTCAAGCGTGGCAAATTGTTCTGGGGCTGCTGGCGAGCATGGGCATGTACGCACATCGAGGGTCTGTGGTGCATAACCAAAGGTTTCTTGAAAGCGTTGAATGGCGTAAGCAACATTTTCCATCGAGTCCCGGGCATATTCTTCGAGGAGAACTTGGTCAGGATTGAGCAACAGGCCGGCGGCACGCGCCGCGCGCAGGTACGAGGCAGCCTCGGTGATCGTCGAATCAGCTCGAGTGGCGCCGCCAGAAAACACGAGCACGGCCTTGGCGTCGTCTTGGACGAGTTGGCAAGCCTTTTCAATGTGCTGAAGAAAGTAGACCGGCTCACCGCGCTGAAAACTCTGGAGCACCCACTGATCGTCCTCACTCACGCGCTGGCGAGCGTCTACCTCGCACAAGTGGAAAAAAGAAACCGAGGTGGTTGGGGGGCAACTGGTCAGTCCAGCGGCAGGGAGGAAAAAGGGGCTGGGCGGAAAACAGGCAGGAAACCAGGCAAGAAAACTCTTCAAACGACAACACAAGGCATCCATCAACACAACAGACCAATAGACCAACAGACCAACAGACCAACAGACCAACAGACCAACAGACCAACAGACCACCCCCCCAGCAAGCCCTCCCCCCGCGCCAGTCCAAACCTCACCCGAGGCCTCGGGATCGCCGACATAGACAGCGTGACATGGCACCAACACCAGCAGCATCGGCGCTGCCGCTGCTGCTCCTGCCATGGTACTGGATGTCAGAAAATATAGCCGTTACACGTTGCCTTTGTGTGTAAAGAAGTTGGCTCCCTCTCTCTCAAACTCTCACTCTCTCTCAAATTTCGTAACTGTCTCGCTCTCTCTCGCTCTCTCTCTCAACTCTCTCAAACTCTCGCTCTCTCTCTCTCAAACTCTCGCTCTCTCTCTCTCTCTCAAATTCTCACTCTCTCTCTCTCCCAAACTCTCTCTCTGCTCGCACACACACACTCTCTCTCTCTCTCTCTCGCTCTCTCTCTCTCAAACTCTCGCTCTCTCTCTCTCTCTCAAACTCTCGCTCTCTCTCTCTCTCAAACTCTCACTCTCTCTCTCTCCCAAACTCTCTCTCTGCTCGCACACACACACACACTCTCTCTCTCTCTCAAACTCTCTCTCTCTCTCAAACTCTCGCTCTCTCTCTCTCTCAAACTCTCGCTCTCTCTCTCTCTCAAACTCTCACTCTCTCTCTCTCCCAAACTCTCTCTCTGCTCGCACACACACACACACTCTCTCTCTCTCTCAAACTCTCTCTCTCTCCCAAACTCTCTCTCTGCTCGCACACACACACACACACACTCTCTCTCTCTCTCTCTCTCCCTCTCGTACGCACTCACTGCTCAGTCGAGAGCAAGTTTGAGGTGGCTGCTGGGGTGGGAGCGCTGGAGGGTATATGCATGGGTTGGCTTGAATTGGACAGGAGGGGGGAGAAGCCATGGCGCAGCGAGCAGGGGAATTGCTCCCCACGATTGAGGGAGTTTCCGGCTGGCTTATTTCAGAGCATGGGCAGATTTTGGCGGGCCAGAGTGCCAAGCTCGACCAGGTGCCGTCCGGCCTGCGCATGCCACCCCCTTGTGTATGAGTGTGTAAGAGGCGTAGATACCCCGATGCCTGCAGTGCACTGATCATTCGCCATTGGTGCCCCGCTGGCCCACACTCGTTTCTGGCGAGGGGTTTGTTAGGAATGCGTGCAGGCGATCTGTGCAGCCTTTCAGAAAGGCACTGTTCCCAGTGCTTTGATGTTGGGGGATGTGCATTTTGTGGTCACCCGAGCCCTCCCAGATCGGTTCGTGCCTGAGCTCGCCCAGCTGAAATGCACAGCCAAAACCTGCCTCATGATGCCGGCCTCCTGATGCCGGCCTGCTGTCCTTGCCCGTGCAGGATCGACGCCGTGGCCCGGCACGAGCGTGGGGCCTTGGTCGCCCTGTCCTGTCACCACGGAATCTTGCTTTTTCACGTCTTGCATCCCCAAACATTGCGTGCTGCCCTGCCGCTCATCCTGAGTGCCACGGACAAGCTGAAAAATTAGTGCAGACAAGGCGCCGTGCGCGTGCCCTTGCGCTCTGTTGTGCTGTGTTGTGCTTGGCTCTGCCGTGCCCAACCACGCATTCAACTGATCTCAACGGCTGCCTCCTTATTCTTGTAATCGGCTGTTTGTCTCTATTGGTGCTGTGCGCCGAATTGATCATCGCCCTCTTTCGGCGCTTGAAAATTCCCGACCCTGAACAGCATTGGCAGTGTTGAGCAACCATTCGAGTTTGGGTTGTGGCAGTGGCAGAGCTAACGTACATGCGATCAATTACGTTTGTCAAAGTGAAAAAAGCAGATACCAATGCCTCGATGGATGGAGAAAGACTGGAGATCTGACCAGAGCAAATGGAGAAAAGACAAAGATAAAACAAAAAAGAGCGGAGAAGGGGTGACAGCCGAGGCGAACTGATGTCTGAAAATCAGGGCTCTTGGGGATGGTGTCAGGGTGGATGGTTAAAGTGCTTGGCAGCGAGCCAAAGCCAGGCAGACAAGGGTCGGGTGGCACAAGAGAACAAAACAGAGCACGAAACCACTTGGGATGGGGGCTTCAAGATGGTTGAAAGAACGCTTCCAAACACACGGTGTGGCAGCGTATGTGGTGGACTTGAGCAAACCTCAACGCAAGTGGTCGGAAGAGGGCTTGGCCCTCAAACTCACTTCTAAATCCTAGGAAAAATAAACAACAGTGGCAATGACAACATAGAGAACGGGGGAGGAGGAAGAAGACCAAGGAGGCTAGAGCTGGGGCAAGGCCAGGTCGATGAGGGGCGAGGAGATGGACTCGACTGAGGAGGGCATGTCGACAACGGGTTCAATGGCTGGATCAAACAAAGTAGCGGCCATCTCCGAGCCATGGTTGACGGCGACCTCAAACATCATGTCGATCGAGTCTGAGGTCCAAACAACCTCGCGCGTGTCCTCGACAGGGGCTGGCGGCCATTCGGCCAACAGAAGCTTCTCCAGCAGCAGGCGGGTTGTCTCGTCGATGGGCAGGCTGACGCTCATGCTGCGCGGGCGGTCAGAGCCATTTGGGGAAGAGGGGGGCAAGAAAATGGTGGCATCGGGCATGGGCTGGTTGGCCGCGTCCGAGCTGCGGGGCGAGGGCATGGCTGACAATGGCTCCGATGAAATCTAAGAAAGGCGGCAGGCGATCAAGTCAGCGATGAGTGCCATGACCAAGCTCTTACAATGGGCACGGCTTTGAGAGGGCTCTGGGGACGAAGCAGGCGCTGCGAGGTAGCGTACCAGGGAGGGGCTGGAGGTAGCACTGCGAAACGTGGCGGTCCGGTTGGGAACGTTCTTGGCGTTGAATTGGCAGCTACTGCCGCTGGAGGTAGAGCGGAGGCGTGCGGGCAGCTCGCCGGTCTTAAACATGGCGCGGGCCCAGGGCACGGCAGCCACAAAGGTGTCAGGAAAGGGTGCACCGGGACAGTCCGGGCCTGTCGAGATGCTGATTCGCAATGGTGAATCCAGTTTTATAAGGTCACGCAAGCCAACAAAGAGGATGGAAATGCACGGTATGTACGGTGGAAGAGGCACCGCCCACGTTGACGGTGCTGCACGCAACAGGGGTGCTCGTACACGCTCGTTCGTCGCGCCAGAGGGCGATGATATTGGCGGTGACAATGGGACAAGGTCGGGCAAAGGCAGGGCTGACGGCAGAGCACAGCTGAATGGACGTGGGGCAGGGCAGGGCGGCAGCAACCAGCGCACGCGCTCGGGGGCGGGCTTGGAAGCAGCCGAGGAAGCGGCAAAGGGGCGTCGTGCCGGACGAGGGAGCAAGCAGAAAAATGGCCGACCTCGACACAGCTCCCTCAGGAGGTGTCGGAACAGGTTATTGTCTTGGAAATTCCCCAGTCGGTGGAATGGCGTTGAAGGTGGAGGTCGAGGTGGTGGTGGTGGTGGTGGTGGTGGAGATGAGCTGGGTGGGGGACAGTGGCAAGGAGGGGAGAAAGCCACCAAAGCAAAAGGAGTGGAATCTCACAAGTGAGAGGCAGTCGGGCGGGTGGTGCTGAGATGGTACTAGACGATGCGAGTCGAGAAACCTGGAGGCTGAAGACGCAAAGCAACCAAAAAGGCAGCACGAATCGACTGGTGGTGTTGATCGAAGGTTGCCCTTGTAGCTGATGGCTTCGCACAGGGAGGACGCAAGGACGACTGCAGGAGGAAGCGCTGAGGACACCTTTGTTGACGATCAGGAAGGAGAAGAAGGAAGGAGAGGTGGGAGAATGAAGGAAGGAATACGCGAAAGGAAGGTCGAGAACAAGCGGTCAGAGGCTCGGGAAGCCAACGACGACAATGGCAGCGGCGTCGGCGTCAAAGTCGGCGTCAAAGCCGGCGTCAAAGTCGGCGTCAAAGTCGGCGGTGAGCAAGACGAGCAACAAAGCCGTGTGCGCAAAAACAGCCAGAGTGAGGCAAAAGAGCAAAACTGGGGGGGGACCGGTCACTGGCACAACAACGAGGTGACGCGGGGAACGAGCGGCAGTTGGAAAATACGGCTGAAGAAGTCGCAAAGGGAGGGTGCTCGTCAGCTCTCAACCCAACCCAGTCGGTGCATGGACGAGAAGGACGTTGTCGTGTTAAGGGTGGAATCTCGGGATGGGGACGACAAGCAAGGCGCCTGGGGACGCCGCTCGAGGTGGGGAAAGCCAGAGAATGGATGATGGGACGACTCGTGTATGTCACACACGCAGTTGCACACCACACACACACACACACACACACACCCAGCGGTTCGGGGGTCGGGGGGGGTATGTGCCGACGGGGTGTGGTGTTTGGAATGTTGGCGGGTTGATGGTTTGATGATGGGGCGGACGTGGTGTGCTTCTGTCGCTAGCGAGCGTGGGTCGCAGGGATCGCAAGGCGGCGAGTCAAAGGGACACGGGACGGAGCCCGAGACTATGGGGAGCGGTCGTGGCAGGGAGGTCGGGGCGGGGGTTAGTGATGATTCCCTAGGCTCATCGGACCCGTGCAGAAGCAAGGCGGAGGGCGGGTGAATGTGCCCGTTACCGAAAAAGGGGGAAAGCCATCAGATTCTTCTCCTCCCGCCGCTGCCTGATGAAGATGCACAACGCGATAGCAGAAATACATGTCCCCGAGCCGAGAAAAGGGGGCCCTGCCAAAGGGGGGGTTATGGGGGTGCGCCCGCAGATTGTGTCTGTTGGTCTGTCTCCTTGAATCTGCGATCGCCAGAATCTCGCGCAAGACAGGACACACGGGTGGAAGCCAGCCCACCCTCTGCTCGGTCAGGCCATGATGGTCCGGGGATGGGACAGCAGGAGCAAGTCGATGCCTTGGATGCTGCCTCAACATTGACCACGACCCCGCGTCAGTCCCATGCAGATGCAAGACTGTCACGGCTACGAAGTGTGCATCGTATATCCTATGACGTCGCACTAGGACACTTGGTGAGAGCTGGTCGGTCGCAGATTGTCTCGAAACGCTCCTTTTGCGTGCGCTGCCACACACACACACTCTCTCTCTCTCCCTCTCTCTCTCTCTTCCTCTCCCTTTCTCTCGCGCGCGCGCGAAGCCTCCGAGGGAGCTGGTGCCGAGGCAGCAAAACCGGCTTGAGTCCTCCAAGAGTCGTATTCGCCCACGCGATGCCGAGGATCGCGTTGTTTGTTCTTCCTTCGACCACCTGAAGCACATTTGTAACCAAGTGATGTGAGCGAGGGTTTGAAGGTTGTGCTCTCGTAACAGAGCGCTGCCATAACACGCCCAGAGCCAGTACCAGAGCGCACAGCAGTGCAGCCAGAGCCAAAGCCTGAGTCGTCGGAGCCAGAACCAGAGCCAGAGAGCCAGAGCAGAAAACCAGAGCCAGAGCAGAAAGTTGAGTTAAAGTCAGAGACTTGGGCGGAAACGCGCTCAGAGATAGAGAAACATAACAGCGAAACGCAGAGATAGAAAATAGTTGACAGGCAATCGCAGAGAGTGAAAGATTCAAAAGCTCAAAAGAGAGATAAAAGTGTGGGTCGCATTGTGTCCCATTGTGGGCTCGTGTCGTGTTGTGGTGTTTGCAGACGACCCGCGACCGAGGTTAAGGGGAAGAGTGAGGGCTGTACGCGCTGGCACGGATGAGCTTCTCCTCAGTGCCACCAAGAGGGTGGTGACGCACATGACAGACCTCTCCCCACTTAACAAAACCCATCCATATGCACACGAAGAATTGGAGTGGCGTTGCTTGCCCATGCAGTCTGGACATCTGGCCAGCCAGAAAATGGGGCTGTGGCGAGTTTTGCACGTCCGCCCACCCTATCCTCGGAGACTTGTCGTGTCGTGCTATGGGAGGAGGATACCCGCTCGCACATAGACGTAGGGAAAAAAATCAAAAAGAAACAACAGGTGTGGCGATGGGTGCCCCACTGCTCACACGTCAATTCGTTCATCGCGCCGCCAACATCTCCCTTCCGTCCGCAACGCGTCAAACCATCAACTGGGCACGGAGCAGAGCTTTCATCCAGCTTTGGTCGGATGCTGCTCGGAAGTGTGTTCTGATCGATCAACAACACACACCCATACATTCCAATGCATCTGCCATCTTTCCAAGAACACTCATCAAGTTCGACGGGACTGAAGAATCCCAACTGCTGCGGGCGTGCACGAGCGGCCATGGCTGCGCGGTTGCCACGCAGCCCAAATATCAGCCCGTCCCCCAGTGCTATCCACAGTCTTGAGCGGCTCTTGCCAACCAGAGAATGAGAACATGAATTTACATCGAATGTTAATTCATTTCGCGTCAAAAAACAACGGATTCTATTCTTGCCCATTCATTATGATTTCACATTCAACCAACTATCAAGCCCTTGAGCACTGCCTACAAAGCCGTCTCATCCTCCAAGGAAGTACCAATGGCAAATCCGGGATTGGTAGCCAAGGCGGACACCGAAGCGTCTGGATCAATCTCAGCAAATGCCGGCATGCTGTGACTTGTTGTCGATCCCCCATCAAGCAAATGTAATACCTCCAGCGCGCTAACCCGCGCCTCTGGGCGTGCGGCCCACATGTCCCGCAGAAGTCTATCCCCGCCACAAGACAAAAATGAACCTTCAGGACAGCCTGATGCCGGCCTCACAAGGAAAATAGTCAAACACTTGGCACACACCTGGTCATGTCCAACTCAAAGAGACTTTCGTGACCTGGACTTAGCTCCAGACGCTGTTGGCTAGTCAACTGTTCCATGATCTGCTGCAATGTTGCGCCGCGGTAGGGCGTTGCGCCACCCTCCATCGTCTGACACCAGCCCGATAAAATGTTTTGAGTCAGCAATTTTTTTCATCAGCAGACAACTCAAGAGAATGGCCAGCCATTGACAACGCATGTCCCCGCTCCTATCCTCCTGACACCCAAGCCAATGCCAACGCGCACGAACCTCCCAAAACAAAACGCCCAAGCTCCATACATCGCTGGCAGGTGAGTATCGACGATGCAGCAACGTTTCCGGTGCCATCCATCTAACAAGCATACGCACATTCACATGAGGAGTCATCAAGAGATTTCAAAGAACAACCGACTTTGCTCGCCAGAGCCGCGACGCCGCTTCCGACGACTCCCACACTCACCGAAACGGCATATCTTCCTCGGCCGATGCGCGATAGTAATTGGCCTCATCATCCACGTAACGACTCACTGAGACAGGAAGTGGGAGAACAAAAAAAACGTGCCCGAGTGAGAAGTGAAAGAGGCAGAGTATATGTCGGCCCTTTCAAACCCACCCACACAGGCGAGGAGTAGCAGAAACCCCCGGCGCTTCATTGCTTAAGACGTACAACCAAAGTCAGCTAGCTTGACCTGCACTTGTGTCATCGTGTCTTCCATCACCAAGACGTTGCGTGCAGCCAGATCGCGGTGCAATACACCACAAGCGTGCAAAAAGCAAACACCCGCAGCCGTTTGCGTCAAAACCTGGGACGCCGATCGTGGGCCAAAAGAATGAAGGCAAACAAGATACACGATGAAGTGCTATCCCATCAAAATTGTTCCAACAATGGAATCGCACCTGCCGACGTTTGGAGGGATTGACTGCGACCTGCGCCCGTAGCCAACTTCGCAAATCGCCATGCTGTGCCAACTCAAGCACGAGTTGGATGGGTGACCTGACATTGTCCCAAGCGCAGCTCTCACATCATGAAAAATGACGGCACCGTGCACAGCCAACGGAGACGCACGGGATCAGCTACATCTCTCTTACTCACATATCATGCACGATGGCAATGAGATTGATGATGCTGGGATGCACAGAGAGTGCGTGCAACATCGCTGCCTCAAGCATCGGTGCCTTGAGATCACCCCCCTAAAAGGCAGCACATAAAACAGTGCATGATGGCCGGCTGCAAAACCCGCGCGTCCATTTCAGCAAAGAAACTAACGGCAACTTTGTCAAACGTCTTGACAGCCACTGGCACTGGATAACCCTTGAGCAGAGCCTATACAAAGGACCATGTGCCGAATGCGCCTGGTAAGCCCCAAACTTTGACCCAGCTGCCAAAAACATTTTAGACGCCTCTCACTTTGTACACGCTGCCAAAGTTGCCCGCTCCCAAACCGCGCTGGAAGGTAAGATCGAGGCTACAAGCATCAAGATGAAGATGGGACAATCATTTCCCCAAACACATAATGTACAAACATCCACCCCGAAGCAAACACATCCCCCGTAAAAAAACAATGAACAAGACAGGGAGAAAAATAGAAATGAAATGAAAATAAAAACGCGAAATTGTTGGTGAGTCGAAAAGCGAGTGGTTCACTGAGCTAGGCGTGTCAGTTCCCCCCTGCCTCTGTCCAAATGCAAAGGTGAACTTTCTCAAACAACTCTTGCCCATTCATTTCATCCCCATGGAGGCAGCTACACAACTCACGTGGAGGCAAGTGAGGCTTGCGTTCGTGTTCGCATCAGCTCGAGCAAAGCCGAGTCCCCTTGGTGCGCTGCTGCCGCTTGCTGCAGTTGCTTCTGAAAGTCCTGAATCGCCAGCTCCAATGTTGGAGCAGAAGACATCGGCATCTGCGCTCCGGTGTGGGCCACCCGCTGTGTCCGAGTGGCCCGCAAAACCACAACAGCAATCATGCCCGCAATCCCGAAGATCACCGGGATCAACACTCCCAAAAATGCGGGCGAATCGAGAAATCCCTGGTTGCTTCGACTTGAGGCCTGGTCCAATGGAGGCAACGTTGTGCCGCTTGGAACAAACCCTGTGGTGCTTGCTGTTGTCGTTGTCGTCGTTGTCGTCGTTGTTGTCGTTGTCGTCGTCGTTGATGGTGGAGCTGCCGTCAAAGTGCCGTTAAAAGCTGCATCATAGTAAGATGTCACCTCCACAATGTAATTTGCATCCGGCACAGCTTGTAGCACTTCTTCGCTGATACTCAACAAGAGGGCCGGCCCGCTCAGAATCTCGATGCCACCGTTGATGCGCACTGCCAAAGCATTCTCTCTGAGCGCAACGCGTGTGAGGTATCCCACCCTCTGCGTCTCGTTCAACATCACGACAGTTTTTCGAGTGGATATTTGAACCAGTCGCACCATAATATACCCTGCGTGCTCACACGCCAACGCCAACCGTTGACGAAACACGGCAGCATCGTGCACGGTCGTGCATTCGGGCACCAGAAACACGGACGGTTGATGCCAAGCATCTTGCTCATGAACGCTCACCACCATGCTGGTGTCCTGAGGCTGACTTAAAATAGCATACCCACCTTCCAGCAAAAGCAGCCTGAGCTCGCCGGCTGCCAGTGAACGAGGCGCTAGCACCACTGCCACGGAGTAATTTTGAGGACCGTGATAAGTCAGCAAAACAGTGGTGTTGGTACGCTCATCCACCAAGCCCACTCGGCTGTTTGAGCGGTCACCATATACCCTGAGCCAGTCAGCCTCCCAGCTGGTAAGCTGCAAACACTGCGCATCACGGGTTGCATTGACTTCAAAATCTTCGGGAAATCGATATGCACACAGCCTAGTGTGTGTGTGTAGCACTGCCAACACGGCTTCATCAACCACCGCATACGGCGCTCGATACTCCACTGAGACTTGAGGTTGTGCTATCTGAATCTGGAAAGGCCATGTTTGACTCTGCTCATCAAAGACGGTCAAGACCAACTTATTGATATATGGATCATCGCCCATGACTAGATAACGGGAGGCAAGGGTCATGATGGCCAAGCCGTTACGAAACTGAGGATAAGGAAATGCACTGAAGGGGTCATGAAAGTCACCAATGGCCCACTTGTTGTCCAGCTCCGAGTAGAGAATTCGGGCCATCAGGCCAACACTAGAAGCTTGTGACACCCCAAACGGGTCGGTTGCGTAAAGCACATCAGAGTTCATGTCGCTGAACGTGAGGGCGTAGCCAATATTGAAAAAGGAGCTGCTAAGATTGATCCAGGTTGACACCAGCTCACACCTAAGCATGACAAAAGAAAGTATTGTTTTGACATTTACAAGAATACATGCATAGAACACACAATCAGGTGAAACATATGATCCACATGCGCACCAGCGAGACTGGCTGGTAAAGCATAATACGCCAAGAAGCTCAAAGACATTCCATCCCATGGAACCCCCCGACCAGGCATGACAGATCACTCAAAACAATTGGAAAAAAATTTACGAAACTAACGCGGCACTGGGAAAGTCGACGACAAGCTGATTGGCCACGTTTGGCGGATCCAAGTCTCTGCAGGACTTGCATTCCCATGGAAGATAGGGCGTTGGCACGGCAGGCGCAGTGTCGGTCGCGCAATCCGGCCACAGAAAACATGGGCAATCGCGCGGGTCGCCTACGTTTAAGCAGAGACAGGATCAGGCATAAGTGAGTTCAAGCGCGCACCTTGACAATTTACCGATACCACATCGCATGTTCACACCACCTACCAACGCGCATAATACGACGCCACGAGACGCTACGTAACTGCAGCACGGAACGCCCACGCGCCCAAAGATCTACGTCGCGGTTGGACAAGGACCAGGGGACCACGGCGCTGAACGTCACCGGACTTTCAGACAGCACTAGCGTATAGCTGACATTCACTCCGTCCACTGTCACCCGCAATTGCGTTGCCTGCGAGCTCAATACTTGTGCAATGTCGCCGTGCAAGCTCAACTCGAGCACCACCATGTCCATGTCCGCGGGCGCATTTAATTGAGCCACCAACGACCATGCATCAGCAGCGGTCCATACGGTCTGCACCAGCGCCGTGTCATCCACATTGCCTGCCCAACCTTGGGCGTCCAGGCCGCCAAACGGCTCTGAAGTGGCTGTCATCAAGCTGCGGTGTCGCATGGCTGTGGTGTTGACACTGATTAGATGCTCAAGTTCGGAATATTGTGTCAGAGCCATTTGCAAGCGCGTGGCGCGCAACGCAACAAGATTGCAATCAACCCTCATGCTTCCGTAGCCCTGAACCTCCAACGTACCCGACCCACTGTCCAACCCAAATGTCAGTGTGTACTGAAGCGCAATGCTGGTACCGCTAAACTGCAGCACATTGCTCAAAATGGTGCAGTTGGCATCAGGTAGGAGAAGTGCGGGTCGTAAGAAATTGGGCGTTAATAGTGGGCAGACAGTTTTAGAAGCTTCGTCGAGGTTGTCGTTGCTACAGCGAGCCGAGCGGTGCGCCGTCATGGCCACAGCAGTTGTGCTGCCCAAGAAATTGAAAACGGCCGAGCTTTGCACACGATTCAGGCGCTGCTCCAAACAATCATCGGCCAAGCTCAGATCATGGTTTTGGCACTCAAAGTGAATCGAGAGCGGGGAAAGCGAACCTGGATTGCACTGCGAGCAGGCAGCAGTCCGGCCACATGCCGAATAGTCGAGCAATGACTGCACTGTGACCTGTTCGTGCATCCAATCCCCAGCACGCAGGATCAGGGTCACATCGCTCAAGGAACGAAGTGTCACGGGAACAAAATTATCATGAGCGGTCAGGTACCATGTTGAACACCGATCTGGCATTGTTGAGAGGCACACTTCTACTTCAAGGGTGTTGGTTCCCCAAAAAATGAAGGTGGCATCGCCACAGAGGCTTATGGCTTCGAGAACAAGCGAGGTGCCCGCGCAGATATTGACACTCGCATTGGTGCTCTGCAATCGCACGGGACCAACCGTGCCATGACAGTTGGCTGGCGCCGGTCGCTGGCGGCCTGCTGTATTTCCAGTTGACGTGTCCAAGAATTCCATGACACCATTTCCATGGAGCACACTGGCCACCTTTTCGGTGTATAAGGCTCGGCTCGAAGCTGTGACACCGGTGGTCTGAAGTTCTTGCTGGCACATTGGCACCATGGCCTGACCATCGTACCAGGTCGCGCCTGAAGTGTCGGTTGCATTGACCTTGAACAACGTCATCAGCTTTTCGCCAGCCACGGCCATATCCACGATGTCGTCCCTTTCGGCGAGATATTGCAACCTTGTGGTGTTGACAACAGGCTGCCAGCGTGATGGCCACGTGAACTCTTGTCGGACCACGAAATAAGGCTCGATGTTTTGACTATACCCGATGGACCAGCTGCCACCCCGACTACCCCGCATCACCATCGGCCATGCCAGACAAGAGGTCGATTCCAGCACATCCGAGTACCAGTCGTTGGCGAGCCACGCAGCAGTCGAGCACATGGTGGGGTCGTAGGACGTGTTCCAGGCTCGACTGATGAGAGTTGCATTGCCCGTCACCTCAAAGTCGTTGGCTGCCCGGTTGTCGATGAACCTCAGCCACCTCAGGCGTGAATAGAGGGTTTGATATTCGAAAACATGAAGTACATAGCTCAAGCTGTCTCGTGCACGGCAGCCAACCCAGATGCGCATTTGGGGGTCTAAGCGCACCAAGCAAGCCACACAACGTATAGAAGCAACAACACGGCTGAGAAAGACCCGTTCCGGGAAGAGCGCATAAATGTGCAGCGTTATCGATGCCTCGGTGTTTGCCACAACTTCGACCAGGAAGCCATGGGCATGCACAAAACACGTGGCGTTGTCAGTGGGACTCCATGTGACCGGTAGGGCCTGTGCAGCAAGCTCCACCGCTGATGTGTTAAGGCTAACCAGCTGCATGCCAGAAGCAGTCCGCACCAGGCGATCGCGCGGTCCAGCCGCAGAAGCCGCGAGCACGCCAGGCACAACAGAGCGTGGATAATTGCAGCGCTCAATCTGGCGCACGACCACTTGCCCTACAACCATGGGCGCCCGAAGGTACAGCGCCTGCTCGTCCGTGGTATCTTTGCATTGTGGAAGATTGGAAAGGTGCGTATCAACAAGTGTAAGTTCGTGGCGTTCTGTTGTCACGTTGTTACGCCGACAAATGAGAGCGACAGTCAAGAAGGAGTTGACACTGGGTTGACTGGCTACCACGATCCGCGAGGTCGGCGTCAGGCTGTGCAGGCGAAGGAGAAATTCATGCCCGTAATCTTGCTGACACACCAGCAGCTCCAATGGAGACCCCACCAGCAAGGTCGCCTCGCGAGCTGCACCCGTGCACTGGTCCAACAAAGCATTGTCATCGACAACGAACGAGGTAAACCATGCCCCGCTTTGAATCTGGATAAAAGTGGCGAGGACTTGCATGGAGATTTGCTCAACGCTGGGAAGCACGATGGTCTCGACCAAGGAAAATGAAAAGTTGGACATGGAAATGCGGTACAAATTAGGACTGTGGGACCACGCGGCCGTGCGCGCAAGAACATAGACGCCCGTCGGTGCGCTTGCGCTGGCCAGGATGTCCAAGCCCGGCGGCAAAAGGGTATACTGCTGATTTTTAAAGTCAACGTTGTCAAGCTCATAGGCAATGACTCTGGGAGTCGCATAAGACACGCTACTGTCAAAAGGGTCGACCTGCGTGATGAAGATCAGCCAAATTTGTGGTTTGTCTGCTGTTGTTATAACGTGTACATGCTCGGGCGAGTAGCCGTGGTACAGCTGAACGACCACAATCAAAAGTGAGGATGCGGGAGAATACCGCAGCGTGAACCTGGTCTGTGACCCCCTTGCGACTATTCCCATCAGGTTTGCACCCAAAGCCGTGGGAAGCAGGTCTTCCATTGTGTTGGTACCCGGAGAATGACTTGACCAACTGATGGACTTGATGGTGCCGTTCTCGTAGTTGCCTGCGTCAATCACCAGGTCCATTGTGACCAAGGTCTGCATCTCAACATTCACGGAAGGGATCCGCACAAAGGAGAGGTTGGTGGAATATATAAATCGAGGACTAAGGATGGTGAACCTGGGCAGCCGTCCACTTGAAAAGACCTCCCACACGCTAGACGCGACCTGAAGCCAGTACCAGCTGAGTGCATATTTACCCTGCATGCAAACGGCCAGGGCTAGGCTTTCACCATTTGGTGCTATCTGCAACTTGCCAGCGGTGCAATTCAAGGCAGTGGGCCAGTTCTTGATGGAATGAAAGGTGTCAGTAATCAAGCTGCGAGTCCAGATCGGTCGCCCCACATCGCTAATGGCCAAGTAGGAGAGCGATGTATCCACTAGCGTGCGATCCACAAGCAGGCTTTGCATCAATGTTGCTGGCTGGTCACAATCGCATTGGAGGCCTACTATCTCCACGTAAATATCGACTGTTTGGACCTTCTCAGGCAGCGCAAAGACAACGCTCACAGCCAGGCGGTGTGTGCCGACGGCTGGAATAACCAAGGTAAAATCACCCGTGTACTTGCTAATCAAGACATTGTGGTTCCGCGATGAAGCCATGTACACACTCGCTGAAACGGCGTCGCCAAATGTCACAACGCGTAGAGATGCCGTATTCAGACGGCACGGCATGGCAAAGGCTACTTCGGCAAGTCCAGGAAAGACGTTCTGAAGGCGAAAGTTGCGTGATGGGTGCAAGCAATCCAAGACAAACTGCTGCAATTCCACACCCAGAAGAGCAGCAATGCCCATGTCTGCCAGTGTATAGTGAAACCGAGAGATGTTATACTGTGAATGGCTAACTGCCAGCACCGTTTGAGTGCTTGAGTAATGGCCGCGAAGGTGGAAGTTCCAGCCTGTGGGGACGTCAGCCAACCAAACGTCTGGGGAATTGCGCGATATGAAATCAAAAGCGACAATGCGGCGGCCACATTGGCAGGCAATCGTGTCATGATTGCGCACGCTCAAGATGTTACAACCGGGCACCTGCCAGACGGGATACGAATCGACTGACAGATCCACTACAAGAACCGAAAAATCGTTGGCCTGCAGACCTTGTGCCTCCGCAAGAACATGAGAGCCCGTGCTGATCACGCGCGTGAATGTCGCACCGCGAATAGATCTGTACGCCACAGAAGAGCGCAGGGTGTCAATAATGAAAATTTGATTCAAGCCTGGCAGCGTCCCGACAATGTGGTGCCTGGTTTGATTCTGAGAAATTGCAATCGTCAGGTCCTCCGCAGGGTCAATGTTTGTTGTAGTCGCATTCCAGCCGAGACTTCCGTTTGTCAATAGGGGAAAGATATAAATCTGCGCCGAGGCAGAGTACGGCACTGAGCTGTAGATTTGGGATGAAGAGATCTCATTGATCGCTGCAAGCACTCGGCCGAGCCCAGGCAAGAGCTGGTCATCATTGGACCAAGAACTGGAGAGGACGAGGAGTTCGCCATTGGTTGCTCGAACCAAGATCCCTGAGAGCTGAGGGCTACGAGCGTCCAGAGCTGCCATCGACACGAAAAGCTGTCCGTTGCGTTCAACGACACTGTGACCAAAGCCGTATTGCCCGGGCGGCCGCGTTTCCTCCAGAGCCATAAACACGTGCGCAAGGCTAAAGGATAACATGGTATTCCCTGTCAACTGGGTGAGAGATGAAGGTGTTGGTAGAATGATGATTTTTTCACGACCATCACCGAGGATGGTTTGGGTGGGGCCAGCGTAGGAGCGGCTGATGTGCATATTCATAGACAATGCGAAGGTGTGAAATAGTTGGATCCGGGGCATAGCGCCGGACCGTGTCCACAGAACCCACCAGTCCGCTGAACCGTTGGTGAACGTGCTCCACCCCATCAAAACTGCGTTTGTATCCACCAAGACAAGTTCTATGAACATGAGGTAGTGCGTGAGGCTAAGTCGCACGTGAAAGACAAGAAACATGAAGAAGCTAGCGAAAGCAATGGAAAGTAGAAGAAGGCTTGGTCAAAGGGTGCAATCTGTTTCGTTTTTGGTTTTGTTTTGTTTTTCTTTGTTTTGTCGGTAAGAAAGAAGGAAATAGATGAGAGCATGAATACAAGATTGTAACAAAGGTGCACACCTCGAGCAGTGCCGTTTTGAAACGAGTAGCCATGACAAGTCGTCTGATCCACATCGCATAGTATCAGGAGAGAGACCAGTTCCTCGATCGGAGACCAGATTTCACTTCGGTAGGATGAGGCCTGAGGCCACACCGCAAAGCTCACGTGCACAGTCGCAATATCAAAAGCCCATTGGCGATGATCGACATATTGCCAGATGACCAGCCCTAAAGAAAGGAAAGGAACAGATCAAAAGGCAGAGGCGCGAGTACCATGAATGCAAGGACATTCCTGATTCAAAATGGTAGTTCTTCATGAGGAGGAGCGACAAATATGCCACAAGGTGTTGGACAAACCTGAATCGTCTTCGTCCTGCACGGTTTGCTGCAGGTGAATGATAAACATGGCGTCAGTGCTGGTGACCACGAGGTAGACTTCAATCATATGCGAGAACCATTCCAAGCTGCGCGCCCGCAGAGCGGCCACTCGGAGGCCGAAGCCATTTGCGTTCAAAAACTCGGCATGCAGTGGGCGCACGGACTGGGGAAACCCCACTGCAAGTGATGGAAGCAACAGAACACGGCGCGAACGTGAGAATGTAACATCGAGCCCACCCGGCAACCCATGCTCAGCGCCCCATGTCTTGACAAGCGTCAACGCCAAGGAAAGACGAGAGGAACCAGAGAGATGGGTTCGCAAAAGAAAAAAAAAAGCAAGACACCCAGGCACAAAGGGATAGTCAGATCCCTTGATATGAGGTGACTAGACTTGCACTCTTGGATCTGTTTTCAAAAAGAAACGCACTTGCGCCATCAGAAAGGATCACGTCGCCCGGGGTGGTTGCGCCTTGCACGATGCTTTCTGGTGCGGCGAATGCAACGCTGCGAAGCCGTGGCGCAAGCTCCAAGCGAGCGGATTGGCCGCTCAGATCTTCACCACACTCCAAACATGCGGTACTGTGCGTCGCATGCGGATTCTCAAGGATGACAATATCAGCACCTACGTGGCGGGCATCTACAGGGCCACGCCGACGCTGTGTCGACGCAAGAGATTGAAATGATCATGCATCGTGAGCCGTGAGCCACAGGCCCATTAAACGGGCTTTTTTGAAAAACTGACATCAACAAGAACAAATGCCAACGGGTGCGAGGCCGATCTCGCACCTGCACATCGAGCACGTATACAATCCAGGGGTCGGTTTCAATGTTTTGTGAATCAAAATCGGCGACAAAAAACGAAAATTCGGCCGCTGCGGTGGGCGATATCCATATTCAAGAGTACATGCGTATGGCGTCGGACAAGGAGAAGGGTGAGGCACAGGCACGGCTCAAAGACAGCCTGACCATTCGGGATGTGCGCGGCCAGACATGCGGTCATCGAGCCGCACGTGCAGGATTTCGCGAGAAACAGCAGAGAACGTACTTTCAATATCGTAGCTTCCACGAATTAGTGCCCCCTTGTTGTTACTGGCACCAGGAGCACTGATAAAGAAAAGGAGCTGTTCCTGCAAGGAATGAGTCATGCGCTTGAGTCTTGGGCTGGCACGGGGCTGAGGCCAGAGCCAAATTTACAATGATACGTTACATCAAAACATAGGGTGCACGAACCGATTCGCCAAGGAAGTCGGATACGACAGTGTGCATCTGAAGGAAACGAACGCTGGCGCCAAAGAGCGCTCCAGTCTGCGTGGTATTGATTAGCTGCAGCCCCGGCATCGAGCGGCTGATCTGAAAGAGAGTACCTGTGAAAAAATTGGCCGGTGGTGACTTGAGATGCTGGGGCATGACAAGCGCGAAAAAAAAAACAGCGATAGAGTAGTAAGCAATTGATATAGGAATGCTGCATCTTGAACCCACCTCGCTGATGATCATGAAAAAAAACCGTTCCACAATTGGGGCCCTCGTCACAGACAGTGCCAGGCTCTCCCAGGATGGAGTAACTATATCCAGTCTATATACACCCTCGGATTGAGCGTCGTGAGGCATAATAAAAATAGCCCGTGTAGGTGCGGCAAGGACACTAGCATCAATGGCAAAAGGGTCAGCAGGCAAAGAGACAAGGGAGTCAGTCGTACCCCTGGGTCGATGAAAAAATCACGCGAGGGAGCTGGATCCATTCTATTGTAGATGTGTCAGAGAGGTAGCAAATGAGGTGACGCGCAGTGACAATTTTCCGAGCGCCGATCGATGATGTGCGACGTGGCTCACCCATTGACGCGGGGGAGGAGGAGCACGTTCAAGAGGAACGCCAAAGCAAGCACTGGGAGGGTTAAGCAGCCCCGTGACAGGCGCCGTGCATACCCAACCATCATGTGTGGTTGAGGCCGGCAGCGCGCCCGCCGGCTGGGCACCACTCGTCTGCCTTTACCCGCAACCAAAATGCCTGAACATGATGTTGTGACACCCGATGATGGTCCTAGGCAGCTGACCGCACGAGGAAAGGAGGTCAGCAAACGTGAGCGACCAACGCGACTCTCACGAGGACGGGGCAACCAACTTCTGGCCACAGCCAGCCACTTGGCGCCGCCCTCGACGCTCAGCACACGCACCAGTCACGCGACAAGTCCAGCGACCACACACACACACCAACGTGTCGTGTGTGTCGTCGTGTGTGTGTGTGTCGTGTGTCGTGTGTTTTTTTTTTTTTGGGTCGAAAATCAAGGACGAGGACGACAGTATGTATTTTACTTTTTGTGTACTGTGGAATGTCGCTTGTTATGCGTTGGGGTGTTATGGGTAAAAAGTATTTTGGGGGATGATCTGGAAGGGGGCTGAATCAGAAGTATTATACTTGATTGATTGAGCGATCGATAATACTGAAAAAGTGAGAGGTGTTTGAAAAGTGGTCCAGTGATTCAGAAAATAAACACCCAATTCCTGTCTTGACGTGATTCTCACACACGCGTTCGAGTTGTCTCTCTCTTTTTATTTTTTCACTCTCTCGCGGTACGTGAAATGGCGGCGGCAGCAGCTGTGGAGTCAAGGGGCATCTCAACGGGGCGTGGGAAGCCAGGATGAACGTGGTGCTCGTGAAGCATTTGGGGCAACTTGCTGTTGCTGTTGGGCTTGTTCCTTTTTTTTTATTGCGGCTGGACTCATGATGGCATTGCTAAACTCCTTCTTGAGCTCGCTAGACCTTGAAGTATGCATCGTACCATTCAGCTGCTGAAGCGGTTGCAGCTCGTCGGCACGGTCGTGTCGCAGCCAACCCAGATGGAGAAGACGGCCAAGGTCCTCGTAACCCGGCTCTTTCGTCATCCAGTCACTGAAAAGGTTCGCCCTGCTGTCATTGGCTAGCATGTGTCTTGACTGGTCTGGACACTTTTTTTTTTCAATCTTTTTCTCCCTGGCACCCGAATCTCCTCTTTCGGTCACCTTTGCTCTTCTCCTCCGGCTCACGTTTTGCCCAAATCTCGCTCATCTCTTCGTGGATGCAACAAACCTGGCATTGCTTGGGTGTAGGTGATGAAGCAGCGCAAGAAATACTTGGTCCATGACGAGCTGAGCGCACGCATGCCTGGCGATGTCGTGCGGATCGAGGAGTGCCGTCCCCTGAGCCGCCGCAAGCACTTTGCCATTGTCGAGATTTTGCGAGAGGCTGAACGCTTCGAGCACCCCATCACCGGCCGTATTCTCACAAAAGCTAGCGATCACTAGGCGGTGTCCCTCTCGCGCCGTCTTGGCCTGATATCAAACTGTGTGGCACCATGATCGGTGTGGAACCCAGGTCATATCGTCCCGTCCACACTTGTGGGCGGTGGTCGACTCGAGCCACCATATGAATCATTGTTATTTGAGCAGCTTGATCCTCTTGCACACGCATGGTGTGCTTCTTCTCGCTGCTCGCACCGTTTGAGATATTTCCTGGTTCTCTGCTTTGCTCGTCTCGTTTTGTTGTTCGTCCCCGGTCTTGGCCTGCCCGGCCTGTTTGTCGAGATTGCCCTGTCCAAAAGTGTCCAAACGCTAATCAGGTCTTTCTTGTTTGCCATCTTTTTTCTCCCTCTTCTCCTGTGACTTTTTTTTTTCTTCTTCCTCCGTCTTTGCTAGCCCTCACAGATGAAGAGTCTGACTGCAAGCACTGACTGCTTCTCTTGTTTTTTTTTTTTTTTTGTTTTTTTTTGGATTTGCCTTGGACCTGCTGGTGCCGCGCACTTTGCTCGTGTCAATGTTCTAGGTTTGAATGTCCTGGTTGTCAAGGTGTCGCTAGTCGTATGCAAGTGCTCATGACATGACCCCGATTCACCAACCTGGAATCGATTTGGCAAATTTTTTATATCCTTGACTCTCCACGCGATCTCGCTTCATGCCATGCTCGGGTAGTTGCGCCTGCTTCGCACCCGAGCCGTGGCAGGCTCTCGATATCGTATGAACAAGAGTTGGCCCTTTTGGTGGCTCGATCATGCTCAGGTAGGGTGACACGCGTTAACATACTCCTGCTCCTGCAACAGCTACAAAGACATTTATGCTGCATCATCCTTGGGACGATGGACGGGTGAGATTTGCGGCAGAGGTGCTTGGACGCCCGGCTCGTTAGGATCCGGCATATCTCGTACAGCTACGTGACATCCACACCCCGATGAGATTGACCGTCACACAGCATCGCTTTGCCTCCATGTGATTTTGACCGTGGCCCCATACCAGTGCCAAAGCAGATGACAAAACAAGAAACTCCTGTCGTGTTTGAATCGGTGGCTGCCGACTCGTATCGCACCTACATCCCCAGAATCAGTATACGAATCAGCACGGTAGCCATGTTGATCGTGTGTTCCGACGCACCAATGGATCGAGGAGTCAGGCACATACTCGGACAATGGCCGTCGCACCGAGCCGCTGGGCATGGATCATGGCGTTGTGCGTCGCTTCGGCCGTTGTGTTGGCAAACAGTTCCTGTCGAGTAAGACGACCAGCAGTCACGGCGTGAGACGTAACCTCGAAGAATTGACTCAGCCAGTCCGCACCTCATAATCCATCAGCTGGCCGCCGATGATGCCGCGAAAGCGCTGGATAAGGTCGGTGATGAACGATTTTGACCGGGCCTGTACGCGGTGTCGTTGCACCCATGGCATGACGACGATCGTGAGGGTCTGTCATGGGGTGAGTCAATGAGGTTGGGCGGTCGTGCGCGCACCGCAGTGCCAACAACAACGCCCAGCTCTTCTTGCACTTTGCGTCCGCGAATGCTGTCGCGGGTGGTCAGGCGAATGTGGGTAGCCTCGTCAAACTCCAAGGTGCTGTGGCCATGTGAGAATAGAAAGACCCAAGAGAGGGGGATGACTCAGTTGTCAGGTGGCACGGCACGGTCAGCGCGACATGGCGTTGGCCAGTGGACAAGGTCACGCACTTTGTATCCACCACGTTCTCGCGATAGGCTCGATCCGAGTCGTCCGAGCTCAGCAATCGACCAGCTAAATGTCGCCCGGCACCCTGTGCTCCTGCGCTGGTGGTGTAGCCGGCTGGTAGGCTTGCTTGTCGCAGCGCAGCGACCTATCAGACACCACCGCCAGCTGTTGAGTGCAGGCGTCCACACACATCCCCAGCCCCGCTACCTCTTCTGATCACACACCATACACAAGCTACCCGACGTACCCGTGCCATGAGACGAGCAGCCATGACGCCCTGGATTCTCACACCTCCCGCGTCAGTGTCTTGCCGTGTCGTGTCGTGTCAGTGACCTGGTACTCTCTCCTGCTCTCCTGCTAGCGATGCGTTTTCGGCAAAAAGTGTGTCTGTAAGTGTGTATGTGTGTGTGTGTGTGTGTGTGTGTGGGGGGGTGGGTGGGTGGTTTGAATTTTTTCATATTTTTCTCGAATTTTTACGTATTTTCTTCGAAAGGGGGGAGGTCGGTCCCGGCCACATTTGTCAATCGTCATCTTGCTTTTGGGTGGCAAATGTAGGTGTGCCTGGTCTGTACCGTCGCTGGTACTCCGTGCCCAGTTGACGTTTGGATCTTCTGACCATTGGATGTGTGTTGGGCCACTCCAAACTGATCCAGTTTACTCAATTTGGTGCTTTGATTTGAATCAGTTTGTTAAATGAGCAGCATGTGCTGTTTGCGAGGGTGGTTCGGATAAAAGTGTAAACATCGAATGTCAAGCTGTCTAAAATCCAGTGACCAACGTCTATAACGGGTGCACGTCTGTAACAGCATGACCCCATTCCACGATGCCCACTTTTGAAGACGAGTTTGTATGGAGGGGTGAGCGGCACGTGGGTTCGTCGACGACGGCTCTGACGACCAATCATCGGAACGAGCATACTCCACCACAACCATGGGTCGGTAGACGGTGGGATTGGACGGAGCCAAAGCACAAGCACACGTCAATTGTCAATCAACAAAAAACAGGGAAGCACATGCGCGCAGAAATTAGCACGTCTCGGAAACAAAAACAACAATAAAGCAGCCAACGTAGCCGAGCTCAATTGGCAGCGGCGGCGGGAGCACCAGTGGCGGCAGCGGCCTGCATCTCCTCTGGATTCATCTGGCGCACGACCTGAAAGCTGGAGGTGAAGTCATAGCTGATGCTGGGAATGATCACCTGCAGGAACTTGAGGAAGATGACCATGTAGCTAGCAAACGAGGACAAGCAGGGCAGAAGTCGTCGTGGTGAGCCGATCCACGCGAGGTCAACAAAGGGTTGGGTGGGGGTGTTTGAGGCAGGTCAAGACATACTACTTGACGTCAAGGGCAGCACCATCCGAAACAGTGTCCATCATATTCTTCATGGCCTCGGCATGCCTGGGGCACATCGCAAGAAGACGTACAAGGAGTTGGTCAGACCACGGTCTGCGAACGCAGTGCAAGTGACGCGGGTTGGAGGGCACCCATGATACGCACTTGCAGGGGTGAATAGACACCCAGTGATCGGGAAGATGCGGGTGCTGCTCCAGAGTCACTGTTTTGTTTGCGTGATCCACGCTAAAGTCTGACTCCCACTCGTCGCCCTGTTGTCAACAACACACACACACACACACACACAAAAAAAAGGCATCGGGCGGACGTTAATAGTCATGTGAGGAACCAGAGTTGCAGCGTCTCCGAGTGAGTCAACCACGCGAGGTTTAGAACCAACACGCACCTGGAGAGGCTCCCCGGAAGCCGCATAGCCGCGCAACCAAACGCGCGGCGTCTAAGTTCAGAGCACGCCAGGATGGGTCATCAACGGCAGCAGAACAGGCTGAGCACCAAGGTGCAAAGCGCGGCCAGAACACAAAGAAGCAGAGCCGGGGGACAGACCGAGTAATGTCCATCGTAGTGAATGGTGATGTCGTACGTGCGGAGCTGACGCACTGTCTCCTCAGCCGCCTGGACACAGGGCACCAACACGGAAGGAGCCGTGAGGACGAGGTCGACAGTCTGCAAGACTGGGCGGATGGTCCAAAGGGTCAAAGCCACCTACGCCACTGTCGTCATCGTCGACCACGGCAGCACCAGAGTAATCCTCATCTATCCCAGGTATCGCACAGAAAAGGAGGAGGTCGATGGTGAGCGGCCATCCGGCCAGCCACTCGGGCTGCCCACCGCGTGAAGAGTGTGAAGGCGAGACGGTCAGTGCCACGTGAGACGCACCCTCAAGGGTGGGAATGTCATCGTCATCATCAAGGTCATCGGGATCGACTGGCGCTTGCGTAGTTTGAGTCTTTTCTTCGGGCAGCTCATCCACCGTGTCCGTCATGCCTGAAAAGATGCAATTTTGTGCACCCGGGCCGGGCAGCGCAAAGCAAGGTCAACCCAGCGCCTGACATGGCTGCGAAGCGGGCTTGGCAACGCGCCATGTTCGCTGACCTTGAATGGAGGTGGCTACCCAAGCTTCGTCATCACTGCCCTCGACGATCATCTCTTCAACCTCGCGGTCTTCTTGAGGGAAGCAAGGAACTACGACAAAGGAAAAACGGGCAAGCACGCCAGGTCACGCACCCATAACCCATGCCTGTCATGGTATGCAATGGAGTCAGTCGAGGGGCGGCACCGACCGTTGCGGGTCTGAAGGTACTGCTTGTCAGCGGGCAAATGCTTGCGTTGTTTCTCAGGCAAGCCCGAGCCCCTATAGAAAGTGAGAAGGCCGGCGTGAGTGCGAACAAAGACAAACGCAACGACGAGGAGAGCGGAAGAGAGAAGGAGGCGTGGGAAAGAGACGGAAGAGTGGGGGAGCGAAGCGTCGCTGGGACGGCTGGTCATGGGCGTTGCTTCGACTCTCAAACGCACCAGGACCAAGAGGGAAAGTTGCTCACAAGAAAGTCGCCAGCTTTGACAAACTGCTCGAGACCGCAATCCAAACCAAAATTGCAAGCCAGTGAGCACGAGCAAACGCCCGCACGCGGGGCGGATACAAACCGGGGGTGTCACACAGTACTCACATCATCAGCGCTGATCTTGCCCGTCTTCTGGAAATCAGACTTCTGCTCGGATGGTCCAGATGGCATGAGGAGCCAGAGGAAACCCGTGCAAGCAAGCTTCAATCAGTGCACCTCACTCACCTGTGTGCCCGTGCTGAAAGCATCAAGCGTCAAGAAGAGCTGCTGGCTCAGCTTGTTGCGGAAGGATGCCATGGTCACTTGTCACCGTCACCGTCGCCGTCACACTGGGGTTTTTGGTTGAATGACAGAGATAGAGAGAGAGAGATTTGGTTTGATAGAGAGGCAGAGAGATGGAGAGGAGAGAGAGATTTGGTTTGAGAGACAGAGAGATATAGAGAGAGGGTTTGAGAGATGTGAATTGGTTTGAGAGATGTGAATTGGTTGGAGAGAGAGTTTTTGAGAGAGAGAGAGAGAGATAAAAAGGCAACAAACGTAGCCTTCTTTATGTGCAACAACATCTGTTTTCAACGCAGAAAGTAGCTGATGTATCAAGTTATAGACGTTATGTAGATATAATAACACAGCTAGAGTCATAAAACGTATCAGTTTATCGAGTTTATGTTGGCCATTGTTGTCAGCCCATTGTCAGACAAACCGTGCTGGTTGCGACATGGATGCGCTTCCGACGAGTTGGCATCGGGCCGAGCACCCGGCGCTGGATCCCGTGGCGGCGAGTGATGCAGCGGTTGGGGGAGCAGAGGCGGCGTCGATACTCCGGTTTGCGCTTGTTAGTTTGCCTCGGTGTTGCTGTGTTGAGGCTGGAGGTTGCTCGTGGGATGGATGCCGGCAGGCTTGCTGATGGCGAGCGACCACACGTAGGCGGTGGGAGGTTGCAAACGGCAGCTGCGTCGCGGATGGCAGCTCTACCCCATCGAGCGCGTCGAGTCGGTGGGAGACCACATGCATCGAATGGCCCTGCTGACCATGCTTCTTCCGGCCTCTGTGCCGGGGCTTGGGCTTGTCGACCGCACTCGGTATGTTGGTGCCGTTGGTACGCGCGACGTGCGCGCGACGGGCGCTGACTTACCCCTGTCTGTTTTTCCAATACCGGCCATGCTGTTCCAACCCGACACCAGCTGCATGGAGATGGCTCTGATTCATGACCTCGCAGAAGCCCTTGTTGGCGACGTGACCCCACATGACAACGTGCCGAAAACGGACAAACATCAGCGCGAACAGGTCTAATAGGCGATGCTGCGCCTGCTCAACCACTGGGCGTTCAGTCGAGCTTACATCATGGCCGCTAAATGCGTGCACTCACTACTAGACGAGCATGGCTGCAATCCTGGCAGCATTGCCCCCCGCCTTTCAGGACCGAGGCCAACACTTGAACGAGCTATGGAACCTTTACGAGCAAGGCCAAAGTCCTGGTGCGTCGTCCCCTTCGCCGTTGCACCATGTTCTCCTTAGCCTTGTCATTTATCCAACCTGCTCGCAGAGGCGCTTCTTGTGAAAGACCTCGACCGTTATGACATGCTCGTGCAAGCACTCGATTATGAAACCACGGAGGGTCGGCTCAGCGTGGGTGAACTCGAGACATTCTTTGCCTCGACACTAGGTACCTAGGTCCAGCTCGCACACACTCTCTGTTTGCCATCCCGCTTGGTGCAACTCGTTGTCCATACTCCTCCGCCGCTCTTCCTCACTCTGTCTGACTCTGGCTCTCGACCGAGTAGACAAGTTCAAGACCACAATTGTGCAGGGCTGGGCGCAAGAGCTCGCTACGGCCCGACGCGCTGCCCAAGCCAAGGCCAGTGATGCAAGGCTGCTTTCTTAAAAAAACCCAAGCGTGATGCTCTCATGCAGTGAGAGGCAGGCACTGAGTCGTCCGTGACGACCAATCGATGCGCGCGTCTTCCACCCGAATGACCAGAATGTCGTCTCAATTCTTCATGCCAGCGGAGCTGGGCGGACATCACCGGCGTAAGCAGGGATGGAAAGTGTAATGGGATGAAGTTTGATGATGCAGTTCTTTCCAGGTCCACAGAGTTCTTCGCCGGCCTCCTCTACACATCCCCATCCGGACCATGCGAGGCAAAAAGCAGTCTCAAATGAATGAGCCGTGGGCACTGCCTGGATGTAGCCGGGCGCGCGCACAAGAGAGAGAGGGAGAGAAAGGGAGAGAGAGAGAGAGAGAACGGAAAGAGGATCAAGGGTTCGTTGCATTGCTTACGTTGTTTCAAAATGTCGGCCATGACCGTCAAGGTCTGCCAGCGAATGTCATGAGAAGCATCCTCGAGGTGTGGCATTTCTTCTCCCAGTTGCACACGGCGCAAGAGCTCATCGCTGGCTACAATGACGCGCAACTTGCGGGCCTGCGGGTCGTTTCACAAGCAGGTAAGTGGAAGTATAATACGGTCGCACACATTTGCCCTTCCCTCATGGCAAACGAGTTGTCCCATCAAACCATCTTGCCTTTGGTGTTTCATAGCGAAAGCTCAGCCCAATCCAATAGAGCGCCGAGTGCGTGGGCAAGCCCCTGTGCGAAGAAAAGATTTGATTCAGCTTCAAGTGAGGCTGCCGTGCGAACAAAAAAATTCATACAAACGGTCTTTGACACTTTAAACGCGCATGTGGGAATAGGCTGTGAGGCGCGTACATGTCTTCGCGGACATAGCCGTGGGAGTACTTTGGGGCGACAATGTTGAGCAAGCTGTTCATGATCAAAAAGTGTTGTCGCTTGGGCAACGCCACAAAAGGCTGGGCCGAGCTGGTGCGCCGCGCACAGTCCAGAACCAAATCGACGGCGGCCTGATTGTCGGGGAGAACGACGTCCATGGTGGACTCTTGCAAGGTGCGAATCTTGAGCAGGCGGCTCTGTCGATCAAAGCTGGTCAGGGAAAAGTTGACCTGGCGCATGTGTTCACTGCAAAGCACATTGCACCCCATGACATGAGCTGAAGAGCTTTTCCTTCATTGTCTTGAAAACATGCCGAACGAGGCCTACCGCATGCGCAGGCGAACCCGCGCCCGAGTGAAGGCGATGGAGGACGTCACTAGAAAGCCAAGCGTCCAACAGATGGCGGGGGCCAGCATGCTCACGGGGACGGACAGCCAGGTGGGGACGCCACCACTTCCTGTCGACGGGCTTGCCTCAGTGACTCGGGTGGCTTGTTCAGCCGTCATGGTGGCAGCCTGGCTGAGTCGCTCGGCCTCGGTGGGATCGACGAGACCCGTCTCGCTCATGTGCTGAAGCACCAGGCGGTACTGGCGGAGATCGGACAAGACTTCCTTGGCATTGACAACGTCGCCCATGTGCAAGAAGTAAAGAATGGCAGCCAAGGTGGCTCCCAAGCCACCAATTGTAATCCCCGCCAGCGTGGACAAGGGGGAGAAGAGAAGCATCTCGCGAAGAATGCTGCGATTACTAATCTCGCCGGGAGAGCCCTCCCCAGGCGTCGGTGTCCCAGGCGAGGGGCCACGGCGCGGGATTGAAGAGGTGAGGCAGCGTCGACCACCACGCGTTAAAATCGGTCCAGACGGCTGCACAAGGCCAGTCGACCGCAAAGCCGACCCGATCCGCAGCAGGGCGCGACCGCCCCCGCGAACGGTGGCCGCAGCAACCAACGAACGTGATATAACCATGACCATGAAGCCCGCAGGACCAGATAAAAACTACCAACCCACCAACCAACGCTTGCACAGTCAAGCAATCAATCGCCTAGCGTCCCCTCCCCTGTTCTCCTCTCTCTCCAACCCCCCTCCTCCCCCACCCCTCCTCCTTCTTTCCCAGTATTTGCACCCCCCGCGCCGAACGATGAATCGTGCAACCCTCTTGCAACAAGACCAAAAAAGTGCGCGAAAGAGAGACAGAGAGAGAGTGAGACAGTGTAAAAGTGCGGACAGCCGTCGCCCAAATTGGCCTGGTCTTACCTCAAAGCTCTTCTTATACAGTATTATCACCGTTCGTTTACAACGGCGCGCGTGGTGTAGTGGTTATCACGTCGCTTTAACACAGCGAAGGTCATCAGTTCAATTCTGGTCGTGCGTATACTTTTTGCTCCTCAACCATTTTGTCTGACATTCAAGGCAAGTCGGCCGTTCCCAAGTGTTCCCCACACGCTTCCCCAACGGCCGCTGACGTGTCGCTGCGACAAATGCACGTTGATGCGCGCTTGATCCATTCTCTGGTCGTGGTAGGGAGCAGTTGACATTTCTCTAGATCTGGTGAGTACGCTGCCTTACATCTCTGAATGACCTTGAATTTTAGCTTGGTATGACATTGGTGATCACCCATTCCTCTAAATAGGTGCTCATTCCTCCGACCCCTCTCTCACGCCAGCGAACCGACGACGTCGCCTCTCTGATCGATTTGCTTCTTCGTTTTTCTTTCTTTTTCTTCTTCTTCTTCTGCTTCTTCTGGTCAGTGAGCGCAACGGGTCCGGCCCCTCAATGGCAGCGCCACCCCGTGAATTTGTAAATGCAGGTGGCCATGAACGGGTCATGGTGGCACTGGCTCGTGCTGGGGTGTGATGGAGATGCATTGAAATGGTGCTTTTGAGACGAAGGGGGCATGGAACGGCCGATCGAACGAGGGGCGTACGTCGAGGGCGGCAGGGCGTTGGCATAGACGTGCACGTGACGGGCATGTTCGCCAGTTGCGGCATTCTTCGCGGGCACATGCGCGAGTGGGACCGATTGCATGCACCAGGCTGATGATGCTTTTCTCCTGAGCTGTGCCTGGACCATTCTTCGAAGCACATTGCCGTTTTTTTTTCTTGCTCATCTTCAGCTGACGGTCTGCACTCATCGTCTTCATCGCCATGTGTGTTTAGACAACCCACCAAGCATGAAGTTCCTTGTGGTGGCAGCGCTGCTGCTGCAGCTCATCGTGCTGGTGGCCGCTGGGTATGTTCTCCAGTGCTTATCCCTCTCTTCTGGTGCCATTCCTCAGCTCTCGCGTCCGAAGACAGCCGCTTTCGCGCTGGATTCACAGCAACACATCTTGCTCCTCCCCTTGTGCCTCGCAACGCAGGCGCGACTTTTATAAAATTCTCGGCGTCGCGCGCACCGCCACCAAAAAGGAAATTAAAAAAGCCTACCGCAAGCTGGCCATGGAGCACCACCCCGACAAGAACCAGGGCAACGACGAGGCTGCCAAAATTTTCCAGGTGAGCCCCGAGACGGCCTCTCCCTCTTGCGAGCCTCCCACCATTTTTTTTCTCACGCCCAACTGGCACACAGGACATTGGTGCCGCCTACGAGGTGCTTTCGGATGACGATAAGCGTAAAATCTATGATCGCCACGGCGAAGAGGGCCTCAAGGACGGTGGTCAGGGCCACGATGCCTCCGACATCTTCTCCAGGTACACCCGCGTACCAAAGCGTCCTCCTGATCGTGTTCTGTTGTGATCCTACCATCCCAGCGTGCATGACCCATGCTTTCGTCGTCATGCTCTGTCTGCTTTTTTCTTGCTCATGCATGCTTTCTTGACCACCATCACCGTTCTTAGCATGTTTGGTGGCAGCTTTTTCAACATGCACTTCGGCGGGAATGGCCGCGGCGAAAAGCAAGTGCCGCGTGGCTCCGACGTTCACATCGACCTTGATGTCACCCTCAGCGATCTGTACAAGGGCGCCTTTATCGAGGTATGTCGAGGCAGCACCTCTTTTGATTTTTTTTAATAATTTTTTTTTTTTTTTCATTATTTATACCCCTCGCTGTCTTCCAGTCCCAGCTCACATGTTTGTTCCATTTCACGGCGCTAACCCTCTTGATTTGCTTTCGATGACCATGGGGGGTCCTTGAATGCTTGCCAGGTGCTGCACACCAAGGGTGTCTTTCGCGAAGCACCTGGCACACGCAAGTGCAATTGTCGCACGGAAATGCGGACTCAGCAAGTCGGCCCCGGTCAGTTTTCCATGGCCAACGTCAAAGTTTGCGACGATTGCCCCAACGTCAAGTATGTCTCCCCTTCCTACCCAATTGCCAGGCTACATAATTGCTTTTACTTCCATTTGCTCCCCAAGTGCCAAGCTGCGCTGCTCATATCTGAACCAGCGACCCACTCATGTTTCTCCGGATTGTGCTCCTCACTCGGACGCTTTCCATCTCCAAACCTAAACCTTGGGTAGACTGACCCATGAGCACGTCGAATTGGATCTTGAGATTGAGCCAGGCATGGTTCAGGGCCAGGAGCTCAAGTTTCATGCCGAGGGTGAACCCCATGCTGACGGTATGCGATTGCATGATCCATCGTCGTTTGTGTCATTCCTTTCTCGATCCTCTTTCATTCTTTTGGGCCGAGGCTGATATGCGAACATGACTTTGGCCATGCCATGCAATGCCCTTCAGGCGAGCCGGGCGATTTAATATTCCACATCAACACGCTGGTAGGTCTTGATGGGCTTCAGATTGTGCTCATCCACCATTCGCCCTTTGTCCATCCCTCACCGGGTGCGCCCTGCATCTCGTTGTACAGAAACACTCCCGGTTTCAGCGCGCTGGCAACGATCTTTTGACAAACATCACCATCACCCTCGAGGATGCCCTGACGGGTTTTGAGATGGAGGTCAAGCATTTGGACGGTAAGAGTCTCTCGTCATGTCGGCGGGCAGTCCGTCGTGGCCACTTATGACCCATTCTGGCGTCATTCTCAGGTCACAAGGTGCAGGTCAAGCGCGAGGGAATCACCGCCCCCAACAGCATCGTCAAGGTGGCGGGCGAGGGCATGAAGTCCTTTGACAACAACCTCGAGGTTCGGCTCCCGTTTGGAAATCAATTTGGCGCCCTCAGCTCGTGCTTGCTGCGCATCTTTCGTGACAATGTGCCTCGCTCTTGCTCGTTGACCCGAGTGGCTGTGCTGACCTACTCTTTCATTTCATTAGCGGGGTGATTTGTACATTACCTTTGATGTCGAGTTTCCCACCCTGAATTTCCCGTCAGAGGCTGTTGAGAGTACGTAGCATCAGCCTGCTTTTGCGAACTCCGCCGTCTCACGAATTCTGGCCATGCGCGCCTCTCACTTTGCTCACACTGTGCGTGCATCGAATCGGGCCTTGTTTCTAGGCCTCAAGGAGCTCTTGGGTCAAGGCAGCAAGCAGCGCGTTTATAACGGCCTCGAATCCCGCTTTGTCAAGGGTGCATAGAGCTGGACTTTTTGACGCCTGATCAATGCTGAAAACTTTACAATTTACATCAAAAAGCCATGCCTCAAGCTTTTGGCCCATCATGTTTCAACAACGCACAGCGTTCAAGACACCCACACCACACAAATGCTTGTTCGCGCTGCGAATCAAGTCGCGGTGTCATACTAGGACACATTGCATCAATCACACCCCAACGCAACTCTATCCTTCAAGCTTATGCCGTGTCCATCTCGGTCGAAGCCACCTCGTTGGGCGATGCGTTCGCCGGGGATGTCGGCGCTGGGGACTCGGCGCTCGGCCGCGGCCCTCGTCGCCACCCGAGGGTGACCTTTTCCTCGCCCTTCCGGAGCTCGGGAATCAACGTCCGACATTCAAGAACACGGGCACGGAGTTGTGTCTCTGCAGCCTCCATGGCCGGGCTCTCATTGAGCGCATCGAGCGCACGCAATCGCCGCGCCAAAGCCAAATGCTTGTCGAGTTCCTTTTCATGGTTGCTGACGTCATTGGCCGTCCTTGGCAGTTGTGTCTTTGTCAAACGAGGAAACACTGAAATTAGATGGTCAGCAGCCAGCATGAGCGCGTCTTTCAGCTCGCGCCTCGCCTCATCGCTGGCCATGGCCTCAAAGTTGGGTGCTGTATTCGCTCTGCAATATGCGATAAAGCACACATTGAGTTTTCAATCGTACGCAGGCAAGTGGAGTTGTGTGGCATACGGTCATTCAAGGAAACCTACGTTTTGAGCACCTCAGCCACATTGAGTACGCGGTTCAGGCGGTCCAGATATTCAGACTCAATCTCGGCCACACCGTCGTCTGGCCTTTCCTCGTCGAGACAAGCCACCGCATCGCGCAGCGTGGCACACAATGCTTGAACATAAATGGTCAACAACTTTGAGCAGACTTCATGGTATGTACGTGGTTGCATGATTTCTTCCAAGCGATCCGTGTTGCCATCACACCACTTGTAAATGTCGCAAAACTGGTTTTTGTTTTTCATCTGCCAGGCCGACGTGTGGGGCCCGTGTGACCAGGAAAGTTTGCAAAGGCGATCAATCATAAGGTTAGAAATCCACGTGCAACGTGGCTTTCACCAAGGCGCGGGTAGCATACCGGGAAATAGGCGTAAAGCGCTTTCTCCAAATTCTTCGAGGCGAGCTCATCCGTGAATTCTTGGGCTATAGCATCTGGTTGCTTTGAGACCACGTTCTTCAGCACCTCCAGGTACACGATATGCAAGGTTGCACGATAGTAGCTCTTGACCTGACCCAAAAGCGCGCGCAAGAGGGATAACATCTGCATTTCACAAGGGAAAGGCCACAGTCAAGTCAAATTCATTCTCGTCAGGACTTGCTCTGAAGTCGCACCATCTTGTGTTAGAAGTGCGAAGAACTGCGCTCAAGAGGATATCAGATACACACCTCATGAATGACTCGCAGGGGTTGCGTCCAGACTGCATCTTCCATCGGAGTACGTTCCAAAGTCACCTCACAGGCATGCAAGAAGGGGGTACAAATGCCGCGCATCTGCAAGCCACCAACAATAGCGGAGTTTGTCAACATCAAGCTGATGATGCCAACTGTTGGCCGACGAGCATCGCACGGCCATGCATGTGACAAGCTCTCCGTGGAGAAAAGGGCAGCTTGCGCTGGAGAGTAGAAACGTTAACGCCAGCGCACCTCTTCGAGGCAATCCGAGTTTGCCATCACCGCACGGATAGCGCTACCAGCAAACGCCGCCATCGTTTCCAAGGCACGCGCTTGGACGTGTGAGGGCTTACTGCGCTTATTGGCAGAGGGCTTGGACTACAGGTGGTCAGCCAGACAACAAGGTCTTGGTCAGTCTCAGCCTCGCCTTCAGTGCCATCATAGTCCAATAGTACGCACCACTTGAACGTGTGTCATTGCCGTGGCCAATGAGCGCGCACTTTCAAGCCACTGGCAGAGACGTGCCCGACACATGCCTTGCATGTATGACGCCTCCCTGCACAAAGGTCAAAAGTGAGTTGACAGACTTGCAGACTTACTCGATGCGCGTCGCAACAAACCCACCACAGCAGCTCAGCACGCTCCGTCTCCTGGTCAAAGCTGTCATTGTGAGCATCAACGGCGAGGCGATCATAATGTTGACTAGCACGCTCAAACCACTTGGTCTTGTTTGGTTTGAGCGTGGCACAGCATGCATTTGTTGAGGATGAGTCAGGAACTGGACAAGAGTGGACAGTCAGCCAGCTTGGCTCCCTGCCCAGGAACACGAAAACAAAAAACAAAAAAACAAAAACAAAAACAAAAACAGAACAAACTCTCAAATCCTAGACAACGGCAAAATTACCGACCTGCTCTTCGAGGCGGCCTAGCAAGTAGCAGATGTAGCCCATTTCCTGGCCAACCCAGCACACATAGTCATTGGAGTCTGGGGTCAAGCTTGCCATGTGGAAGCTGACCAAGGCGCGATTCTATGCAAGACACACCGTCGCTGAGGCAAAGTAGCTGGCATACAGTGGACGGCACCACATGTTCTGGTCACGTGTACGCCGCCGTTCGCGCACCCCGAGCCTTACCAGCCAATCAGCAATCTGAGGCCGCTCCATGTCCAGTTCAAGCTTGTCTTGGTTCCACCACTCAGATGCATGCTCCTTGTGAAATTTGCCGAAGCGGCACCAGCTGTCCGATGACCCCGCGTCATAGTAGATGGCGGTGAGTGCGAGATCTTCAAAGGAAGGACCATCCTGAGCAATCTCGTCTTCGTCGACCATGATGAGATCACATTTCTGTGAGAAATATAGGCGCAGCAGCTCGCCAGACCATCCACTCGCGCGCGCGCGTCTGCACTCGGTCACGACCAGGGCATTTGGAAGCTCTGCCACCGTTGGGCGCGGGCAGATGGCCTCACGCATGATGGCCTCGGCATCATTTGGTGGCAGCGCCTCAAATGCCGTGTCGAAGAGGGTCCGAAGAAGTAGCCAGCCTGATGCGTCTCGGGGGATTAGCTCCTTCACCACCGCGTCCAAGCCCCGACATACGATAGGGTGCACGATATCAGCGTAGGAGAAGGAGTCAGGAAAATGGATCACATGGGTGTGATACAGGAGTTGGGGCGCAAAAGGCGCGGCGACAGGGTCATGACAGGCCTCAGCCGATGTACTACACAGGTCCAGCTTGCGGACAGAGCGATAGTAATCGGCCAGAAAGGCAGCAGGTGTCACGCTCAGAGTGGGCAGGCCCACCGAGGGGCCTGCGGCTTGGGTTACAAAGAGGGCACAAGCGTAGTTCTGTGCAACTTGGAGAAAGTCCAGATTCTCCTTGATAGTCACGCGAAGGTACAAAAGAGCATGAAGCAGCCATTGAGCAAGCGCCAGCAGGTCCGGCTCCACCGCCACGGTGCCCAAGGCGTCACAGTTCCAGCTGGAGCCGTGCTGCTTTACTTGGTTATGGACATGGTGCACGAGGGTGAACGTGAGGCTTGCCATGGAAGTCGCAATTTTGTGCCTTGTGGGCTTTTCTTGCCGCCCGGATGCCCGGTATTTCTGATCCTGGGCCGATCAGACAAGCGTGGGTGAATTTTTCAACGACATTGAGTGTGTGCGAAACAAAGATTTCAGGTCGAATCGAGCGTCGTACTTTGCAGATGCTTGTGAATAGCGTGATAGCCAAGCCAGCGAGTTGAATCAGGTCGCTCGGTTGAAACGGCATATGTTCCAGAATGTGTGGCAGATCTATCATGAAGACGAAAAAGACAAGCGTGCAGAGAGTATCTGGCGTAAGAATTGGCGCGAACCTCACGGCAACGGGTCAAGAGATCGCCAAGAGGCTTCAACACAACATGCAACGCACGTGAAGCAAAATCGTTGATGTCTCGCAGAAAGTCCAGTGCATATGCAGAGATGGGACGCAACGCCAGGGTTTGAAGCCAAAGGCGAAACACTCGCCATCCCTTGTCCCCGTACTCGGCGACCCAGTCTGCAAGTCGCTTCTCGATGGCGGCCAGGGCTTGCTGCTTCTCGGTGGTATCTGATGAGCAGTCCCCACTTGTCGTGTCCATGAGCTCGACTGTGCTGGGGGATTGTCCAGCCCTGGCAAGCGGTGAGGCTACACCAGGCGTGGCATCATTTGAATTGAGTCCGCCAGCTGACCGCTGGGTGTCATTCGCTTGGTTCGCCTCGGGCACTGCTGGCTCAGATGCAGGCAAGGCAGCAACGGCCTCAGCAGCTAGCTGTCGCTCCTCGGTGAGCGCCTGGCGGCGCTTGCACCAGGATCGAAGGTAACGGACGCAGTTGGTCAAGTCTTGGACGGGCAAGGCATTGGGCTCCAGCGTGGGCAGGAAGCTGAGACGATCCAAGACTTCTTCATAGTGGCCAGCGCGCTCGGCAGCGACACCCACGAAAAAGTGTCGCGCCGCGTGCAACGTGGTCTGCAGCTGTTTGGTCGAACCGATTGTGATATCACATCTGCACACGAGGAAAAAAAAGTAGGGGTGTGAAAAGGAGGGTCGATATGTATGGCCAAGGTCAGGGGAAAGGTGGCGGGAGAGCGTACTCGTTAATGCAATAGGGTCGACGGCGAGTGGCAGAATTCTGCTCCTGCGATTGGCGCAAGAGATCGAGCTCATACAGTCCTCGATGCAGAACCTCGGAGAGCTAAGACAAAGGAGGTGGCAGTAAAGTGGCGGGTGAGGCGTTCCTCCAAGGGAGGCATTGTTCAGGAGAAAGGGCGGTGTGTGCAAGTGGGTGAGGAAAGGTCACCTCAATAACGATGGCATCTGATGGTGGGGCCGGTGTTGAATTGTCGAGTGGTACTTCGGGGGCCTGTGGATTGGCCAGAGTGGTGATGGCATCGGCCAGAGCGGCAGCCTGTTCAGCGCGGGACCCACTGCGTCCCAGTGGGTGCTTGGATTCGTGCTTCTTGAGGCGACGAAGCGCCAAGAGTGCGCGCGCAAAGTGATAATGATCGAGCCACAGTGCTGTGTTGGCTGTATAAACACCGCCCGCCAACCAAGCCGCACGCCCATCGATGGCTCGGCCCAGCTGACCTAGAGACGTGTGGGAAAGCGTGGGCAACGTATTCAAAGCAGCCATATCGACCAGGAGCTCAAAGGCACGAAGCAGCATCCAATCTACGACTTGAAGAGCATCAAGGTAAGGGTCAAAGTCGGCCGGTAGCTTTTGACTGCCTTGTGTGCAGCTGTTGTGCGCCAATAGAAAGTCAAAAAGCTGCAAGACATCCTGTTGCAGCTTGGGTGGCACGGGGGAGGGCCAGGCCGCTTCCACGTCGGGGCCAAGCAGCGCTTCCAAGCAGCTGCGAGCGACATATGCCCAGCCTTAGCAAGAGTCATGTGGTGGTGAGATGGACCGGTTGCTTGGGCACGCTTGACCAAAAGGTGGGGTAATAGCTCAGGAGATAAGGAGGGGGGAAGGGGGGCAAGACGTACTATAAACACGATAAGGCTGCAAGCTAGGCGGAAGGTGATGGCCTGAGCCAAGGCGCTTTTGCGTGCTATACGCGAGAGTCGAAGTCGTCTGTTTAGAACTGTCGGCATGGAGTGGATAATTTGAGCAAAGATGCGTCATGGCGCGAGTGGCCCACGCTTGGGCCCATGCAGGGCAAGTAGCAGGTTCAGCGGCTTCTTCCGTCCGCCGCTCAGTTGCCAGTGCCTCCTTACTCTCCTGTGTCAGAGAGCCGCATGTGGCAAAACATAAGAAAAAGGTGCCAGAAGCAGGCCAGTGTAGTGGAGGGTTTGGGGCGAAACAGAGAGAAAAAAGGAGGAAGAAGAACGAGTAGGCAGGAGAGAAAGCAACAACACAAGATGCGCAGCTGCAGTTGCCACAGAAGCGTCTGGGCACATCTGCTTGCGATCAATCTTCAAATCTGATGGTCAGGGACAACTTACGCTGGTGACAGGTGTGGTACCTGCCGTGCCTTGAGACGAAGCGCTGCGCGTCAGGGCCTCAGGTGCATTGTTGGGCTCGATAGAGCGATGTTGGCGGGAGCGTGCACGGGTGAGACGGGGCTTTTTGGCCGAGGGTCGCTCCAAGTCTGAGGCTGGCTTTGGGTCGGCGTTGGTGCTCGGCTGCATGATGCTCGAGGTGACTGACGGTATCGATGAGGCATCAAGCGGCTGAGTGCTTTCTTGATCCGTAGGTTGAGTGGCTTCTTGGCTGTGCGCCAGATCTTGGGATGATGAGGCTTCCGAGACTTCAGTTGCCTGAGAGGCAGAGGTAGGGTCGCCATCGACGGCCATCGTCTCTGAACCTGTCAGCGAGGTACACGAAACGTTGTTGGAGGCCAGTGGTGCGGCGTCCTGCCTTTCACTCCTCGTTTGGGGGCCTGCACTGCTGTCGGGATTGCCATCACTGCTTTCATCTTCCTGGCTCTGCTCTGCATCTTCTTCCATGGGCGTGCTCGGAAGTGTCAGGCATACGCTGGCCGATGGGTTGGCGTTCTTGAGGTCCGTCACCAAGCTGCCAGAAAGAA